GGCCGGGCGGGCCGGGCGGGCGGGGCCGATTGGCCGGGCGGGCCGGGCGGGCGGGGCCGATTGGCCGGGCGGGCCGACCGGGCGGGGCCGATTGGCCGGGCGGGCCGGGCTGCAGCCTCGGCCGGGGGCGCCGCTCTCGCTCAGCTGAGGCGCTGCCGCCGCCGGGCGCGGGAGGAGGTAAGGGCCGCCTGCATGGGCCGGGGGAGGGTGAGGGGCCGCGCCCGCAAGCGTCTCCTTTTGCCCCTTCCGCTCGCACCGCTCTCCTTTCTCCTTCAGCCGCGGCAGGGCAGGGAATGTCAGGGAGCGGGGCTGGGCAGGATTGGCGTTCCGCCGGCGCTGCCGCCGCATGCCGCAGTTTTGATATCGCGCGGAATAAACGCGGCCTGAGGTAATTCGTGACACGCAAACTGCAGCAGAGACGTCTTTAAATTGCTGCTGTCTGTGTGCAGTTTGCTGTCCAGGCAGGGAGGCGAGACCAGATTGTTACGGATTTAAAAAAAAAAACCACAAAAAAACCACACAAAAACCACAAAAACAACCAAACAACAAAACAGCAACACACCTGCTTTATGGCGAGCTTAACAGCCAGAGCCGTGCGGTCCTGCCCACATCCGTGAGGTTGGGGAGGCACGCGAGGCAAGTGCGCTCGGACTCGTGCATTCCTTGTCACGTACGTCGGATCCCCTGGGGCTGCAGGCATGCCTGCGCTTTCTTCCGGGCGTCCTTTTCTTCCCCTTTCCTTCTGGCAGCCTGGAAAATTTCCATCTCCCGAGCAGCAGCGAGCCTGTAAAACTACAATTTTAATCACCTCATCCCGCTTCAAGTGCTGTCTTTCCCTGCCTGTCTGTAGGAACTGTTTCCCTCCAAGAAAATGTGTACAGATGAACAGGATCAGATTGTGAAAAACGCCGATCACTTGGTTTTTAAAATTTTAAAAGTTTAATAGTAAAATGGTTATAAAAATAATAATACAATTAGAGTAATAACGTTTAGAGTTAGGACAATTACAAGACAATAAAAAGCAAAGAATTACGGATGTCCGGATGCTCTTGGACACGAAGTCAGGAAAAGCATGACTTGTGAACAAAGGAATCACCCTTAAACCAATACACTTGTTGCATATTCATACATCCTTCATGGTTATGCATACATTCTATTCTAAACAAAGAACTCTGTCTGTTGTATGTCAACTGTTTCCTTTAATCCCCTGGCATCTTTGAGTCTGAGCAAGGCCTGAAGAAATTAGCTTCTTCTGATAAGAAGCCATAAATTCCTATCCTTTGGAAATTTAGGTGTTCTTTGAAGCGAATATCTCATTCCTAAAACGAAAACTCCCCCCACATACATAGTCTCTATTTTAACATTATTTTGTAACCTAAAACTACACTTAATGCAATACCTAAGAGAATTAATACAGCATAACTTTCTAACATTACACATATAATATTAATTGTAAAATTTGCGAAAAGCCAATCATAAATATGCATTTATCACAAGAAGGAGCACCTCAAAGCACATTTCTATCTCGAACTGTCCATCTTGGACTTTGTCTCTAACAGCGGTACCCCCCTTTTCATTACCTCAGTCTTGTTTTGCCCAGATGGGTCTGCCCAGTCTTTGCAGACGTACCAGCTGGGAAAGTACAGACTGTTGTGTGTCCAGAGCTGTTTATATAACAAACTAAAGAGCAGGTTTCTACTTCTGATTTGCAGAGACGCTTGGAAGGCAAAACTATCATCACTATTTTTACTTGCCTGGTGAGAGTTGAATTTGATAGGGAACAAATGCATTAATTAGCTTATGAGTTTGGATTGATCCTCTGATTCATGCTGTGGATACTGGGTAATCTAAATATAGTGAGCATTTCATGTTCTCTTCTCAAGCTGACAGAAGTGAAGGCGAGTGTGGGTTTTGCTAATTGACAGGCTTTTAGTTTGGTCCTACTGTGTTTCACAGAAGGAAGTTAACCTGCTGCTGTTACGAGTCAAGGATAGCATGAAAGAAAAAGCAGTTCCAGGAAGTAAAGCAGGTTTTAAATGCCTGTAAGTATGCTAAAATAAGGGTGTGATATTGCAATCACCCTAAGTAAAATGGAAAATCTAAAGATCTCAAGTAGTTCCATATTCAGCTGGTGCAACAGTGATTTCCAGAACATTCAGCCTTTTATCAAGTCAACAGTTAACCTCTAAGGGCTAAGTAAAGAAACCTTTCTTTTTTTCATGCAACCTAAGAATTGCATGAAAGGTAAACCCACAGCATCTGAAGCAACACACTTTGAGCTGGGAACAACATGTTTATTGAAGGCCTTCCAAAAGCTCTGTCACTGCCATTTTCTACTAAAGCAATCCTTTACTAATTCACCTTTGATTGCATGTTTTTTGTGAGTACACAGATTTTTTATCTAGCAACTTAAAAACGTAGTTTTAACAAATATTTCAGATCTAGAGATGCAGTTGTGATTGGCCTGGGCAGAGGACAACAGCAAGGCACTCCAGCCCAGAATTAAAGTGTCTCTGGAGTACAAGTGTTGCTCTTTGCTGTCCAATTATGTCAGATCACCCTGCTATCTTTTTTAAAAACTATTATTATAATTATTTTTCATTCACAATAAGCCTGGGTATATTTAGATCTGTGGTTATGTCATATAATACTTCTCACTCATCATTTTGCCCTTAGCAAACTTTGAGTAATTAAGTTAGAAATTCCTCACTGGGTTTATATCTTTAGTGTGGTTAGTTACAATGATCTGTGTGGTCCAGTTCAAGTACTCCATTGCGACATGTAATTATTACAAATTGCATCCTTGGACTTCGGTGAAGTTGGGTGTTACTCTAGAAAAGATCAATAATCCAACCTTTCTATGCTTTTCACCATGCTAGGTGAGTCATCATTAGCAAATTTTTGTCTGTGCTGAGCCAAGTGGTGTGTTTGAATTTATCTGGACTGGAAAAGAGATCTGAGAAGCCAGTAGATCTTGTCTGCCTGTGTTAGCCCGTTTCAGGGTTAGGTGGCAAAGAACTTCAAGCCAGATGAAACAGCAAATAGCTGCATGGGTTTTTTGAGGGGGAAGTTTGTGTGTACAGTTGTGAATGTACACGGATACACTCTTAGTAGTCATTATTAGAATTTAAAAAAAAATCACAGTTAACAGCTCTGTGTTACAAAGTGTTGTTCAAGATCTCCATAAATGTGACAGAAACAAATATCACGTGCATATAAAATGAAAATCTAAGCAAATATATTTTTCCTCCCTTTCCCCCGGGAGTCACAGTGCAGATATTTCAGCTGGTGTTTGCAGAGTATGCGTGATAAGCTCTATTTCTCAGCCTTCTCTCATATTTTCATATATTCATATTTTAGTATTATCATCACTCCCATTTGCTCCATCTCAACTCCTTCAACCTTTGAAAACTCGGGATGTCATTCTGCAAGGGGCCAGCAGAAGTGCCTCCCTGGCTCTGTGTGGAGAGCTGGGGCTGGATGTGGGCTGCTGCTGGGTGTGGGATAGTTTCCCGGTGAGTCACGCAGATCCCGCTGCAGCAGTCGCTTCCAGGGAGTGCTGTGCTCCGCATGATTAGCGGGCTCTCTCAGGGTGACATTGTTTCCTGAATGATGCAACTGAAAATTCCCTTTCCTGTGCTTCTTGTTTCCTGATCGATTTTCCCTCGTTCTCTAAGCCACTCCAGCAGCTGCGCATCTTTTGCTCCTGGTCTCTTTTCCCCTACGAATCTCTGCGAAGACAAGTTATGTCCACAGCTACTCTGATTAATTTGGTACGGAATGGAGGGTTCCAAGTAAGAAGGAGAGCCGCGCTCACGTCCCGCTTCCTGCAGGACGAGAAGCGCCCCGCAGCCGCCTGCTCCATCTCCACCTGCGAGCGCCGCGCCTCCCGCTTCGACCCCGACGGGAGCGGGCGGCCGACCACATGGGACACCTTCGGCATCTGGGACAATCGCATCGACGAACCCATCCTCCTCCCACCCAGCATAAAGTACGGGAAGCCGATCCCAAAGGTGAGCCTGAGCAACGTAGGCTGCGCCAGCCACATCGGGAAGCGAAAGGAAAACGAGGACCGGTTCGATTACTCTCAGCTGACAGAGGATATCCTGTACTTCGCAGTGTACGATGGGCATGGTGGGGCAGCAGCCGCTGACTTCTGTGATAAATACATGGAAAAATATATTAAGTAAGTGCTCATCAAGGCAATGTCTGTCAAATAAATTACATATTCCTTCCTTAGGGAATCAAAGGGTTGTACATTGTAGCTAATCCTTCCAGGTTATGTAGCTGCCTGTCCTTATGGGACAGCAGGAGCACTGGGTGGAACAGACATGCTGTGAATTACTGCGTTAGTGCCTGCCCCATTGGGCAAGTCCAAAACCAGAGGAGATGAAAGCACAATTGTGCCCCCTGTCCAGGAAAGGTTTTGGAACACGGGGAAAGTGTGGACTGACTAGGTTAGGGTCTCTGTAATTGCTGACCTATGGTTTACTTACACTCTTCTGTATCTCTCATATCCCTGGATGCTGGATAAGGAACTTAGATATTTGCAAAATTACAGGATTATGCTTTCAGTGCACACAGTTAGTAAAATCACATTACCTTTTCACTCAAGCCCAGCATCATTCAGTGGGTGCAGGTAAGAGGTAAGACTGCAAAACAGATTGATCAGGATGTATGTGTCTTGGAAAGAGGTTTAATTTCTTTGTTTACTTTCTTGTTTCCAGGGAATTTCTTGACGAGGAGGAGAACTTGGAAAATGCTTTGAGCAAAGCTTTTCTAGAAATAGACAAAGCATATGAAAGGCATGCTAATCTCTCTGCTGATGGTAGGTAAAAAAAATATTCTACTCATATAGGCGTGGAGAATAAAGTTTGTTTTATTTGCTCAGTAGTTCTGCAGTAAAATGTCCAGGAAAGTGTTTGAAAACAATTTTACTTAAACAGGATTTTGCTCTGGTCACTTACTGCAAATAAAACAATTATGTTTTACCTCCCATAAATTAAATAACTACTGTAAGTCTCAATCAAATTTACTGGAGGAGTGATGGATCTGAATATTAGCATGATCACCAATGAATTTCTCTTAATGTGATTCTAAAAAGGATTATGTTTGTCAAGGTAGAAAAAAGTGATTTAGATTTGCAAGGACCATAATTTTACTGGTAAGAAATGTGGAGATGGATGTTTTTGATTTTTTTAATTAGCTTTTTAAAAATTTTATTTTAGGGGTGGGTGGGGGTGGTGGGTGCTTTTATATGTTTGTTTGTTTTAAAGCTGTTACTCCTGTGGATTAAAAGCAACAGTGTTAAAATTCCCCTTCCTAACTTGGCTGCTGCACTTGAGGAGGAATGTAAGCCAAAATTAACGCAATCAATATTGCTTCTGCACAAACAGAATCACAGGAGTAGCTGAGTGGGAAAGGGAAAAAAAGCAGTGAAGAGGAAAACAAGTTTGGCTGTGGTAAAGCTGGTACCAGCCCTTTTAGACTCTCATTTAGTCCTGGCTGTTAATTAAGTTATTGTATATGTGTCTAGAGACTAAGTACATCTGAAGTTCCAGTTGCAGCAAGCAGAGCTTATAGAGAGTAACTTAGGAAGGGAGATAGAAGTGCCTGTCCCAGTTCTGTCACAGGAGCTTTCTCAGCCATGAGATACAATTCTGAGAGTCAGTTAAGCCAGTTTTAAAAAGAAAACCACAAACAAACCAAATTAAAAAAACAAAAAAAAAACCCAAAAAAAACCACACCCCACCTACCCACAACAGGAAAAAGCAAAACAAAAACCCCCACAAACAACCAAACAAAAAACCTGTCCCTGAACTGGTGCAGACATGGGCAAAATAACTGAGGTTTAACCAGAAGAACAGAAACTGTAAAAGTCTTCCCTCCAAGAAAGACCAAGTAACCCTGTAGGGACTGAAGTGATACTGTATTCTCAAGCTGCTTTTCTGAAGCTGTGGCTGAATACAATCAAGTAATGGAGTGGCTTTCTGCACTTTAACTGCTAGATGAATCTAGGTAGGCTCAAATGCAAGTCAGGTAGCCTGACTGCTGCAGCACTGCCTCTTACCTTAGCCTACATCAAGGATTGGGAAAAAGTCTTAAATCCTGAGATGCATTCCTTAAAAAAGTAGGATTGAATCCATAAAGGTAATTTTCTCATTGCATTTCATGTTGTAAAAAAGACCAGCTTTACTTTTGACATATGAACTGAGTTTTAGCTAAGCTCTTGAGAGACATCAGCAGAGCAAATGTGCTTTTTATCCCAGAGCCTCTTTGCAAATTCAAGACAGCATTTGAGTACAAGTTTGTGTGCTTTCCTGGATCTGATAATTTCATTTTCACATCTAACAGTCCCCTTCCCTAGCCCTTTTGAGTAAGAAAGCTCTTGGTTTGGCTTATTGTAGTGGTCTCTGTGTTAGAGCAGCTCCTTGAGCAGAAGGATTGAGAACTGTACTGGATGCATTCTTCTGTTTTCTGAAAACTATTTCCAATCATGACGCTTTGTAGGTGAGACTTATAGAATTGGATAACAACAATATTTGACAAATATTTGCTGTGCAGCAAGCAGAGCATCTTAGAACTGCTTATAGGATTTTTTTCATACCATTTAACTAACTGGTGCTGCTTAATGCCAGAAAATGTATGCAATGGTTACCAGGATACTGCACAAGCCCCCTTCATTAAAAAAGCAAAATAGAGAGTAAAAGAGTTGCCAAACATCCACAAGGGCCACGCTCTGGCAGGCACTCAGTGTTTCTCAGGTAGGCTGAGCATCTGCAAGCTCTTGCAGGAGCCTGGGGGATCTAAGAGAGCGTGTTGTTCTTGGCTGAAAATCAAGCTTGAAGGCAAAGAATGGAGTAACAGGGTGCAAAATCAAGTTTGGATTTCTGAACAGATTAAACTTCTCATATATCTATTGTTAAAATAACTCAATACTTTGTTGACTGCTTTGTGTAGACATTTTTGCTGTTACTGATGTTTTGAAAGTTATATAACATTTCAGTGCTTGGCATATGTCTTAGTTAGAAGCCTGTTTCCAAACTGATTCAGTTTGTCAGCAAAATTTCTGATTAAGTGTGGCTATTCTGGATGTGACAGTCAAGACAGTTGCTAAAGTATCTTGAAGTTGGTGGTTGATTGTGTAACCTGGTGCATCTGGGTTACACTGGATGCTCTCCAAGTCTGACCTCCTTTTGAAACCTAGCCATAGCTGATGAAGTGCAAAATAATAGCTTTGACTTCTTCCAGTAGATGACCCTTGCAGAGCTCACTCCCTTCACTGTGCCTGCAAAAAGACCAGTGCACATTCAGGATGTCCAGGTCTTTACTAACACACAGACAGCTTTAAAATTTGTACCTTTGTTTGAAGGTAACTAGACCCTGGGACAAATCCCTGTAGCCAAAATGGCATGTTTGAAGCATTGTTTATAGTACTATTTAAGGGGTAAAACCTTACATAAGGCACAAATTTAACAGGACAAGAGATGTGCCTTGTTGGGAGACCCCAGCTATGTCTTCAAGGGCATGGCCCTCTGTAGGTCACTTAACAATGAAACAGTATTTGAAATTAGAGATGGAAAATACATACCATGGTAGTTCCTGTGAGCTTTCAGTAATAAAAATGGTTTATGTGTGTCTACCAGGTACTGCTTCTGTGTCTGGCATGCAGTTCGCCAGTGCTATTGCCAGCTGTATTGGCCTGCTGGGGCCTGGTCCATTAACCCCTGTGATAGTGATCTACACCTGTTTCACACAAAAGCATAAGACCTGCTGCAGGCGGGTCTGGGATAATCTGTGCCCTGCCTAAACCCTGTGTAATCATTAACAGTTTAGAGCTATGTCTGAGCTCTGATGCTTGGTGTTTGACACCTCTTCAAAAATGCATTTTCATTCACTTCCATGCATTTAAATATAGGCCAGTCACTTTCAAATCACTGCTAAAGTTATGTATAGAACATAAAGGAAGCTCACATCCAACAAATGACATTATCCATGGCTCCCAGAGATGGGCAGGAGTTTCTGCTATTTTTACCAGCCATAAAAACTAAAACGTAAAGGCTGAAAGACTCTGCTCAGCAAGGACAGAGATACGAAATTCTGTGCTTGAGGAAATTTAAGCATTTCCCTGAAGAAATGTGAGACACACCCTTTCTTGGCCTACTGGAGTCCTACCAGGTAATGTTACTGCTTCTGTTCACTGTGAGCCAGAGAAAGCAAAGAGGGAGTTTGTCCATCAACCTCCACATGCAGTGAATCCAACTCTAATCACATTGGCCACTCACATCGGGAATAGCCATCTTATTAAAACATAGCCAGGTATTAACTTGTCTACCCATGTTTGAAAGGATTCTTACTCTTGACTCTTAATATGCTGACAAAAAGCAGAAGTTACTTTAAAGTAATTATATTTTTAAAGTAATGTTTGTTTTGTTGGGTTTTTTAAAGTTACCATTCAAAAAACTATTTTCATTTCTTTAAATATGTTAACCTGCAACACTGAGGGAAGGGGAGAGCTGCAGAGATTGTACTTGAGTATTTCATAAATTTATGAGCATTGTAAAGGCAGCCTTTTTATCCAAGGGCTCTGATTATTGCCTAATCAATCTAGAAAACACTAATTACAATATTAAAGGGATATTTGTTTTGCCTATTTTTCCATTAGTCAGAAAAATTCATAAGCTTCTAATCAGTGCCTTTAAGATGGGCCCATTTCATTTGGCACTAGTTTGAACTCCCCATATTGGTGTAATTACCTTGAGGGAGAAGATGTTCTTCAGTAGCCACTCTTGCCATATATGAGACAGCTGCTCCTCTGGCATTTGTAAAATTCTTCATTTGATCTGTTGGTTGGTTACTTATCTCCATAGGAGAAACAAAATTTAGACTTTATTTGGGCTGAATTTAAACTGTTTTTTTCACACAGTTCTAGTGAGAAGGCGAGTTTTAGTGAGTGGCAATTCCCCAGAAATACCAAGGCTGATTTACCAAGACCAAAGATGCAGATGCTTCCTACATGACCTGCACAGTGCAATGCAGGCAGACCTGAGAGTGACTGATTCTATCTCCTGTTCTGCAGCCCTTATTCTTATATCTCCAGTGTTGCAGGTTTATTTTGTTTGAACAAAGTCCCTGGGTGAATTTCCTATTTGCCTCTGTGTGCGTGTTATTTGTGGCAGACACTGTACCTGGTCAGCAGCTCTAGAACTGGAGGCCCTGGACACTTTAAGCTGGGCTTCAGTGGAAAGAGAGATCTGCTAAATTTTGTCCCAGGCGAAGGAGTCCAGCGGTTCCTAGCCTGGACTACTGGAAGGTTTCCACATCCTTTTTGTCACATTAGTTGAGATGACTTGCAGTAGAAGTTGTCCAGTGAGTGTTAAGAACCTATTGAAAGATCTTAATTTTATAGTGATATTGTTAGGAAAACAAACACTTTAATTGTTAAAACCAATACGTATGCTGATGCAACGTATTTTGTGCTAAACTAGTAGCAGTTGTAGAAAAGCATTAGAAATGTTATCCCATCATCATTCCTGTGGTTTCGAGCTGTGCTAGAAATCACTTAAGGCTACATCTGGCTTCATGCATGTTCTTGCATCCCTACCCAGAGCATGAACTGGATCCAAGGAAGAGATTGTGAGCAGCATGTATTTTTTCCTAGGAGTGCTATTTAACTAATAAACATATAAAGTTCAAGTCACTGTGTTCTTTACCACAGTTCTGGACAATATCTTGTTCTTTAATACCAGCTCTTGATTTTGTGATAGTAGCTCTTTTCTTTGTGAGTTTGCACTGAAATGATGCAGATTCACCTTAATTCCAAATATTTCCAGTCTTCTGTGAATTGAAGACTACTATTTAACTTTTTATATATTTCTCAGCATAGTTCTAAAACCACAGAATGAAATGGGAAAGTAGCAGCAGTTCTGCATTAATTTTAATGTCTAAATAAAAGGTATCTTCTATAAAATAAAAAAGTAGTTTAACATAGGTTGCTCTATTTCACTTGTTCTAACTGTTGGCTAAAACAGGTATTTTACTGGTTCTACTAAAATTTCTAATTGCACTGGTACTTTTTAATATCTTATTTTCAAAATCTGCCTCAAAGTGACCCTGCACTGGGCTAGTCCTTGCTTCAGATGAGAAACAGGATGTCAGTGCCCACCAGTGCCACATCCAGTTTCCAGTGTCCCAGCCTGCATGGCCCTGGCACAGCCCAAGGTGTGACCACGGCCAGTGACAGTCACCTCTGACCTGCTGGTTCAGCTAAACCCAGTCCTTGCTGCAGTAATAATACCTGTTTTAAATTATAACATCAGCTTAATTAACACCTGTTTGTGAGGGTTTGTGTTTGGGTTGTTTTGATTCATGGTCTTGCTGCTTTCACTGTACAACAAGGCTCAATGCATCTTCCAGGGCTTGGTGACTTCAGTTTACTCCCAGCCCCGTTTGACTTACAAGGTGCTGAGACCTCACAGGGTTGGGGAAGGAGGCTGTAAAGATCTCACAGCTTTTGCATTTCTGTTGCTATCTGTTGGCATCTGGTCGGATTTGGGGCTGCCTGGCCTTCCTTGGGATCAAACACAAAGTCTGTCTCAAATCTGTTCCATGTCGCCGGGGTCAGGGCTGCAGGGCCAGAGGTAGGAGCACATGTAGTTGTAGCTGATCTCTGCAGAAGCAGTGGTGGAAAGACAGTGACATGGTAACTGTTAGTACATGAAAACAAGAATATAACTGGGGAATCACATTCCTAAGCAAGCCAAAAACTCATCTCAAATTGGCTTGCTTTGAAAAACCAGAACAACTGGAAAAGCCCAGAATGAAGGTGACCTACAGAGGGCCTTTCAAGGGGATTTGCATTGGCTGTAGATGCAAATGTGTTCCAGGCAGTAGCTGGTCCTGTCCAGACATTTTGGTGTAATAGGTCAAGTCAGCAGTAGCTTTCCAGGCTACTCTTACTGGGTTTCCTCTGCAGAATTTGCAGAAATAGAAAACAATAACTATGAAGTGGGACTTGCCCTTTCAAAAAGCAAAGAAAAAAGGGAAAGCTGGGCAATTTTTCTGGCATTTCTTCACTGCAGATGATACAAACAGATCTTTTTCCTGAAATAGGCACTTACATTTCTCTTTTTCAAGAGTTTCTTTTTTTTTTTTTTCTCCAGACCATTGCAGCAGTTGAAATGAGAAGCCCTTAAATCCGCTTGCATGGGTGAATCCAGGCAGGTCCATGAGTGCAGTCAGCCAGCTCAGCTCACTCCCTTGCTCTGTAGAGCAGGAGGGCAGCACCAGGGCTCTGTTTTGCCCTCTGGGCACTCAACAGTGAATCCCTGTCAGGTGATCCCAGCAGTGCCTCGGGCAGGCTTCCCAGAGAGCCACTGCCACCTGCATCAGTTTGCAGGTACAAGGCAAGACTGAATCTCAGAATCCAGCTTCACCTTTGCACTGGGACCTCCAGCATGTTGACAGGAGGTGGAGGTAGCACCTTTCCTGGAAAAAGCCAGGCAGCCTGTTGGCTGAATCCTCCACTGAGGGAAGCAGAGGGGAAGAGTAATAGCTCTCTGACAGCAACAGGAGGATGCCACAGACTGATCTACTTCTTTCCCACTGGTGATCTATATGGAATTAAAATTACTGTAACTATAATTATGTTACTATATAATTGCCCACTTCACCATCTAACAGAAAGAAAGATACATCACCTTTATGGTGACCTACTTGTGCAATCACTGTGCCCAGGGATAAGAACACTAACCTGAGGTGAGCTCATGGGGCTGAAAAACTCTGCTGCAAACTGAAAGGAAGCTACTGTACCTCGTTCTGGTTTTATCCCACTTGCCCTGCTTGCATGGAGCCATGTTGTTGCACATAAACACTTAATCCTTTCCACCTTCTCTCTCTTCCTCCAGTCCTACATGCATGCATGCTTTCTTTTCTTTTTTTTTTTTTTATATACGTAAATTTAGTTTAAACTTAAAAGCAGTTACTTGCTGATTAGGTAGAGCACAAGTTGTCTTTATTTTACCAATTGAAACTTTTGCTGTTATAAAGGGCAGTGCTCTTTGAGGCAGTGCTAAAACTTCTCTCTTTGATGACATTTGTAGCAGCTCTGCTGAGCTCTGGGACCACTGCAACAGTGGCTCTGCTCCGGGATGGAATTGAGCTGGTTGTGGCAAGTGTGGGAGACAGTCGTGCTCTGCTGTGCCGGAAAGGAAAGCCTATGAAACTCACCATTGACCATACTCCAGAGAGAAAGGAGGAGAAGGAAAGGTACCTGCTGCCTGATGATGTGGCTTCCCAGAGCATGGCCTCAGTCAGGATGGACTTGTGCTCTGCTGCTGGCTTGGGCCAGGAAGAAAGCAGAGTTGAATATAGAGCCCTGAGACCACTGTGACCTGACAGTAAGCTTCAGTTAATGCACTAGGTCCTGTTCAGAGGACCAGGGATGTGGAAAGACCTCCATGAGCATAAGATCTCAGCAGTAATACCAGCATCACTGAGACTCAGAACAGAGCTATGACCACATGGTTCACACTTGTCCAAAAGTGTCAAGTCAGAACCATCTTAGAACCTAGTTGGAAATTGCATAAATGCATTGTGATTCCCAGGTCAGGACTCAGCCCACCAAGACACATCCCTTCCATACAGCCCTTCAAACAGCTAAAGCCAACCCTCAGCCTCTCAGCTTAGGCTCTCCATACATCATTCCTCATTCTAGGTACTGACAGAAATAGAGGATAGAGACAGGAGTAATGGCGTGAAGCAGTAACTCATTTGCTTTTTCTTTTGTGCCTCTGGACAGGATTAAGAAGTGTGGTGGCTTCGTTTCCTGGAACAGTTTGGGACAACCTCATGTGAATGGTAGACTTGCAATGACACGGAGCATAGGAGATTTGGATCTTAAAAACAGTGGTGTGATAGCCCAGCCAGAAACAAAAAGGGTTCAGGTAAAAGAAGGTCTGGTTTACAGGGACAGCAGCACTTGGACAGCACAGGTATTTGATGCAGTGTGTGGTACCCACACGACATGAGCCCAGGTGAAGCCACACATTGTTTTTTACTGAAATAACTAGAGAACAATTCTCATTAAGTTGTTTCAGAGTAACACTAACAGGACAGAAAAGAATCTGGTACTAAATTCAACCAGGTCAACTTCTAAATCTCAATCCTCACAGCAAAATATATGATGAGGGAAGAAAGGTAACACATGATATGTATTACAGGTGTTAGTCTGTTTGGGTCCTGTGGTCAGATGAATAATTTTGAGGTTAATGCTGGTATAAAACCATCACTGAGAACTGAGTAGGATATGGATGGGCTGCCATCAAAAATGTAGGATGTGTAGAGATTTGCACAGTTGAGAGGAAGAGGAGGAAGAGGAAAGGACAGCTGCATGTATCTTACCATAGCTCTGTAGTTGTCTAGAAAACACCCAGAAAGTATTCAGCCTTCACTTGGGCAGGAAGGTCTCCTGTCAATTCATATTCTGTTTTTTTAGTTTTCCCCAATGCACCTCCCAGGGCCCCAAGAACTTCTATTGTTTTGGTCCCAATAAAGTGCCACCCACTAGGGATTAAGGGAAATTTCTTTAGTGCCATCATGGCTTCCTTGAAATCCCCAGCTTCAGGAAAATTTTTGCAGGAGAGCACACAGCACCACAGAAAATAGAAAAGTGCTTTGCAAGAGTGTAAAAACATGGGGCAGTTCCCTTGCTTTGCAGCACTCACCCAGGGTCATGCATCCCATGTGCCTTTGTTGCAGCTGCACCACGCAGACGACAGCTTCCTGGTGCTGACAACCGATGGCATCAACTTCATTGTGAACAGCCAGGAGATCTGCAACTTCATCAGCCAGTGCCATGACCCTGCTGAGGCTGCCCACGTGCTCACTGAGCAGGTAATGCCAATGCTGCTCTGGGCACCAAGGGCTCCTGGTTGGGCTGGTTTGGCTTAAGAAAACCTAGGTTTTTATTTACACAATACCACACATTCAACTGAATTGAGCAGTGCTGGCTGAGACATTTACCAGTCCTGCTGGCCAGCCTTTTCCTTACCCTGGGTCTTGCCATATCCTTGCCAGGCATCACATCAATTACCTTGTTTAGCTCACTGTCCACTGAACTGCATGGGATTGTAACTGCAGCTTCTGCCCGTGCTGAAAATGTCATTGTCATAGACAGAAATGGCCAGTTTCTGACCATGGTTCTGGATGGTGGCATATCCTATGGGAAGATCTGGGGCACATCAGAATGGAGTATCAGGGCTAAGAAGGGGCAAGGGTGTCTCTGACCGCCGGGTGTGCTGTCCCAGGTGAAGTCAGACACTTGTTTCCCTTTCCAAGAGACACTGATGCTGACACTTTGTTTCTTCTCTCAGGCAGTGCATTTTGGTTCTGAAGACAACAGCACAGTTGTCATAGTGCCATTTGGAGCTTGGGGCAAGTACAAGAATGGGGAGGTGACCTTCTCCTTCAGCCGCAGTTTCGCTTCCAGCGGGAGGTGGGCGTGAAGACAATGCCACAGTAATCCTTTCCTGCCATCACCTGGACACAGCATGCTACAGGAGAACACCTCCATCTGTTCCAAGGCTCAGTGTCTTGTCCATCTCTTCTGTTCCCAGGGTTAGAAGATGCCACTGCTCCCTTGGTGCGTAGTGCCCATTGTTGCTTACGCCTGACCATGTCTTGCTGCCATGTTACTCGCAGCAGCATCGGGGCAGCACCCTGGGTTTGTTGCCCCAGCAGCTCCACACATCACTTTGTTCACAAAGACATGGTTCTGGGCTTTCACCTGAGGCTGGACGGGGTGCACAGTCATTTCATGCCTACTTGTATTCCTCAGGACCCTCAGCTCCCTGGCAGCTTCCTTGTCCGATAAAACACAGGGGAACAAACGCACAATGTTCTTACCTAGACAGAAAGAGAGTTTGTTGTCTTCTTTTGCTGCAGCCACCTGAAACTCCCCTGTGCTCCAGGAGAAGTGGGTGAGAAACAAAGCAGAAGTTTCAGAATGCTTAGGTTCTGATGCCAGTGGCATTTGGTGTAGCTGTACAAGTTCCTGAGACAGTGCTACTTTGTGCTCTCACTGCCATCATCTGTGATCCTCTAGCTCCAAGGAGACAGACCAGGCTGGGGCCATGTGCTGTTGGACAGATGGGAACCTTTCTCCATTGGGTCCAAAGCCTGTGCAGTCTCTGTGGACAATGCAGCAGCCCTTGCACTATCTTCTCTTTGCTGTCAGTGCCTGACAGAAGCAAGGAGGAAGGAAAAAGACGCACAGTTTTGATATCCAGAGACTCTCATCAACTTGAATTTCTTTTTTTTTTAATAAAGAAAGTAAGCTCATTTCAAAGAGTTTACTCTTCAAGATCTGATGCGTAAGACAGTTTATTTCTTCATACATACACAAGGATTTTCCTACCCTCTGCTGAACGTGTCTGAGTTAGTTGCGATCTCTCATGTCTCTCCATGGTACACAAGGAGGTATTAAAATGCCCCAAACAAGCTACAGAAAGGAGGGAGCATTATAGCAATGTAAGGTCATTTTTGTAAGTTTTGGGTATTGTTTCTGGTAGATGTCAGATATTTAGCTACCAGAAAGGAGTTTTATACTTAGAGAAAGGGTTTTCACTTCCCCTCTTGGAGCAGAATCTGTGTCCAGCGAGTCATGGGGGGACCAGAGCTCTGATCCAGCTCATATCACTGCTGTGACATGGACGGCAGGTGACATGTTGGCACAGGTAAAGATCTGTCCCAGTGTGCCTCATTCACACTTCTTCCTTCCTCCTTTCCATGTCAGCTGTCAGCTCCTGTGGCGTTGGAATACGGGCAGAGAAGAATTGGTCTTTTCTCAGCCTTTTCCTTCAATGGATGCTTCCAGTAGCACAAGTGTGGAAACAAAACAAAATGAAAGAGAAGTTGCCTGATACTAAATCACCTTGTTAAAAAAAAAAAAAGAATTCTGAGGTGCTTGGCTGGACTGATTCTGATTTTCCAGTGTGAAATACATATCTTCATTACTTCTATCCCTTTCCTTTAGTCCAGGGTTATCCCTTAGGCAGTCAGTCCATTAATTTTTCTTGTCTGTGGTGGAAGACCCAGCAGCACCCAGCAGAGCACTATGTTGACAGCATTAAGTACTGGGTGTGCTAAGTGCCCTGGTTTCGTCTGTCCCATCACTTGGTGTGTTATGTGGTATGCACAATGTACTTATTTGGGTTGTAACTGCAGTGGTGTCTGTAAATCTCTGCTGTACTGGATGCTGGTGCCCAGGCCTGTGTAGTGAGCACACCACTGGTTTACAATCCTAATTCCCTCTCTCTCCTCAGATTTTCCCCAGAGTTGGGGTTCAGTGTTCACCTGAGGTCAGGATAGTTGCTGTTGGGGGTTTTTATTTCTCCTAACAGCATAGTTGTCTTCTCAGGGGAGGGATCCGTCTATAACTTCTTTGAAATTTTACTAAGGAATGGATAAGACAAAGCTCTGTGAAACAGATTATTATTAGATTCAGGTGTATTGGTGGTTGCTATTGCTGCTTCTCTACTATCACAGAAACACTTGGATTGGGAAGGACTCCCGGGCACCATCCCACCTCCAATCCTTTCTGTTGGACCTACTGTTTTCTTTATCCAGTTTATTTTTCACTCCTGGGGCAATTCCTGTAGTTGCTGCTGTTGTTTGAGTCCTTCAAGCCCAGCCCTCTCATACCACTGAAGTGAGGCACAGGCCATGCCCCAGTATGGGGCAAAAGCTGCTGGTTTTCACTGGGGTGGGCAAGGCACCCCTCCATCAGTGACACACTGGTTTGCCAGGGCTGTTGCCCATTCAGGTGTAAAGTCCCAGACTGGGTGGTGATACCTGTGCTAGGAACCTGCCCAAATCCTTCCACACACCCTGCCAGCCAGGGAACAGCTGCCTCGGCACATTTCAATATTGCCTCACCCAGAAATCTTCTCTTATACCATGATGACACCAGATTCTGCCAACAGTGTTAGTTAGTAGCATTAGCAGCTCATGTAAACATGAACAAGGACCTGCACAATCATCCACACCAATCCAGAGCAGGGAGGGGGAGATGTATTCCCTCATCCTCTTGTGGAGACAAGACAGCTCCCGCAGCTCAGCAAGGCCATCCATGCCAGGACACAGCCCAGAGCCATGGTTTGTACTAGCACATTCCCAGCTTCAGCCTTATAAAGGATAAGCAGTGCAGCCAGCAAACTCCTTGACTCCCACAGGAATAATAACACACTGGACACAAAGCTGCCATTGTCTGTGTCCCATGTTGGGTGCCTAAAAGGACCATGGAAGATGAACCTTGGCTGGACCACCATCAGCTGCCCACCAAGCTGCTCTTATCAATCCCCCCCACAATAGAGTGCGGGCTGGGCGGAGAAAATAAAATGAACAAAACCCCCAAACCTGGTCAAGATAAAGATAATTAATAAAGAGTGTTACCAGTACCTTTTTAGGTGCCAATACACAGCCCAGCACTGTGAGGATGCTGTGGGGAGATGAGCTCCATCCCAGCCAGCCCCAATAAACACTTTAGGTTTTCTGTCTGGTCACTAGGCCTCCTGCAGCTCACGGCAGCTCTGCAAGCAACCAGCTCCACTGTACCCCTCCAGGGACTGGCAAGATCCTCCTGCACAGCAGAGCTCCTTCAGCTTGAGGACAAAGAGCAAATTGTCCTAAAACAACAGCTGCCTGCCAGAGAGGTTTATTATTCCAGGACAGTGGAAGATCTTACACTTTGAATGAAACAAAATGGAATATTTGCTCTCTAGCTCGCAGTCTTTCCCGAGCATCTGAGGTTACAACAAAAAGAGTATTTTTTGTTTATGACAGACTGAACCAAACATTACAGGTGACCTGCTGAGCAAACTGTAAAAAATGTTTGCTTTTTTCTACCTTTTAGGGGATGGATTCTGAAATTCACTGGATTTGGTAAGAATATTTTCCTGCCTGAACATACCCCCTGGAGCAGTGGAATCTCTGTACAGGCACTGCAGGCTGTGGGTGCAGAAAGGCAAAAATGCTGTCCAGCTAAGTATTAATTTTTACTGTGAGGATGTGGAAGGCACGTGGCTGGTCTCATGTTGCTGGAGGATTTACTAGGAGAGGTGTTGAGACTGTAGAAGAATTTCCAGCTTAAGTCTCTCTGCCACTTGCAAAGATGGGGGTTTCATGCTTCATAGAAGGAACTCCCAAAAAAGTCATTTGCAGCCTGGATTTAGGAGAGCTGGTCTCTCTGGATGATGAACATAGCAAAAGAGACTTAAATGGGGCAGAGATCCAGTAATTAATTTAATATAGGCCCTCATTACAGTCAGTCCCTTTGGGCTGAAATGCTCAGGGCTGGAGAATAATCCTGAAGCAGCTGAAAATGGGGGTGTGGAGAGAAATCAGGAATATCACTTCTTTTTACATATTTGGAAATTGAGAGGAGCTTAGACTCACCATAGGATTTCTGCTGAGTTCTCTGGGATCAGGGTTCCATAAGCCACATTTTCTGTCTCAGCTGGTGGATGTGCTGTGGTCAAAAACATTGTGTTTTTTAGTTAAAGGAGAAGCAGAAAACAACAGCTACCAGTGGTTTAATAATAATTTCTCTTAAAAACCTTCACTTGGGCACTTCCAGGTCATTGCTCACTCACCCAAGAAGTGAAATGTACACTACAACAACACTCTGGGTATTCCTTGGTTCCAAACTGCTGTTCTGAATGCAGACGTACCCATCAGGTACCATCTTGACCTGAGATATGGAGTGCTTGGGCAGTGGTGCCTGTCATAAGTTTCTTACAGACTTAAGTGCAATTGTGTACATTTACTACATGCTCTGCCTTGGGGCTATATGTAATTTCTGTGGTTTGATGTTTATCTTTGGTGTAATCAGTGTTTGAATTTAATCTGCTATGAAATTTTATAGAGGAGCCCATCTTGCTTTTTTTTTTTTTTCCCTTTAAAAATGTTTTTTCATCTTCATCAACTCAAAGCTACAGTAGAGCAGCTAAGTCTGTACTGAAATGCTTACAAGATCTTTCAATAAAGAATTGGCTCCTGGGAGCTGTGTCACTGCAAATGGCTTTTTTTTCTTCCACCCCATTGCCAACTATCAGAAAAGACACAGCTTCTCAAACTGTGTCACAGCTGTCCTGTTAGCCCTGGGCCTCAGTCCTTGCCATAAAAAGCTTCTGATAATCAAGGCTTTGCCTACAAAGATGTTCTCCCAGCGATAACCAGTGCAAAGTACCTCCTGTCTCTGGGCTGTGCTGCACCAGCCAGACATCACGTTCTAACGTGCTATTTCTGTCCACCTGGATGGCTGTCATGATGAGCAATGCCAGCCTGTGGCATAGGGCAAAGAAGCAAATTGAGCCTCTGCAGGAAAATACAGTTTTGCTGCTGCATGAATTCAAAGCTGCTCTCTTGCACTTGAAGAAACTATAAGGAAAAAGTAAGAGCTGAAGATTTTTAACTCAGCTGCAGAAGTAACCCTGAGATCACTGGTATTTTTAGTTAATACAAGTTTTTACAGCTGAACTCAAACCTATTTTACTCTCTCTCTCTTGAAGGCTGCAGCCTTGACTTCAATGAGGTCTTAGTTTCCTACAGCTGAGCTCCACCATTTATTTTTAGGAATAGAGTCCTTTTTTGCTCTCCTTTGTTGCCAATCCACATCTCAGTTCAGTCTAGAGCTGATCAGCTCTTGGATATATGGACATATCCCATGGTGGTCTTGTAATCACTGCTCACATGGGTAAATTTGGAGAGCTTGGATGGTGTGTTGAAAAACCTGCTGGCCAGCTCTGCCCTTTCAAGGACTTGGGAAATGGCTCCCAGGTTTCTCTGCAGTTGGAGCATTTATCCTGTAATGAGCACCCCTGTGAGCTGCTGCTTGTGAAAAGAGGGCGGCCAAGCAGCAGCCGCACCAGGGTGGTTCCCTCCCCAGCTTCAAGGTAGTCTGGGCAGAGCAGCCAAAATTAAGGAGAGCTTAAAGCTTTCAGAAGTTGTCCCTGGGAAGGGCTGGAAACTCTTCCCAGAGCTCATGCGAGCACCACCCCCTATTCCTCACCCACACAGGATTTTCATCACTGCTGCTGGGCAGAGCCTTGCTACACCTCCCCCCCAGCTCAGTGTTGGCAGTGGAAACACTTCCACCCAGATGGTCTCTGCTCCTGTCTGGCTCCTGCACCAGGGGCTCTGGTGCCCTCTGGTGCAGGCAGGATTGCATTTAGGTTTATCTGTGACCAGGTTTTGGTGCCATTCTTTACAATTTGCCCTTTTTTGAGCGGGGCGGGCCCACGTTTAACACAGTGCCACACAGCTCTTCTCCAGGAAGACAGGGCAGGATTCGGCTCCCAGCACATCAGCTCTGTTCCTGGGCTTGCTTACCCCACCCTCCTCCCTACACCGTGTGGCACAGTAACCTCACTAGCAAATCAAATCTGTATCCTGACATGGAGAGAGATGTGTCCTGCTGCCAGGAATACCTTAGAAACAGTCATGCATTTTATACAGAACACCAAGCCTGGAAAACACCTCAGCCTCGCCTTTCTGAACTGAGTTACTGCACCTGTCAGGAAAGACAATTCAGTCACAGCAAAATGGCCACAAATTTGGTTTTACCTGGTAAATGGAATGCCTGGTCCCGGGCAGTGCTTCCACCTGGCAGGAACTGTGGTGCAGCCAGAGGTAAAGGCTGGGGCACTTGAAAGGAGCTGCCCTGTCACTCAACAAATTTCACTCCAAAACTGCCCAGCTGATGCCTGTTGGGATTTTACAGGGCTGGGACTGCACTTTCCCAGTCAAAAGGTCCATCAGGATTGTAGGCTCCACCACTTCTGAGTGCTTGTTCCTGGCACCTCCACTCTCCAGCATGCCTGGAAAATGAGCTTGAAATACTGCATATAGTAATTGACCCAGCTGCACAGAGCACCCTGGAGCTGCTGTTAGTAGGAAATCTCTCCCCAAAAAGAGTGGGAGGCAATGCCAGACCGACAGCTCAGAGTTGGTATGGTTACCTGGCTCAGAGTGCTTTGGTGACACTCATCCATGACCTGCTCCCTGGCAGCAGCAGAACACCCAGGCTGCAGCTGTCAAGTGTCTGCAGCTGCTGAGAACAGTTAACTCCCCCAAAACTGCTGAAGAGACAGCATTTTTTTTTCAGTGTGTGGAAAGATTTAAAATGCAAAATGGCTGAATGTGAAATACTTGAACTTTATCTTAGAGGAGTGACTGCCAGGGAGGCCTTGCAGGGCCTCTGGCTGCTACGTTCCAGCAAGGGGTTTATTGCATCCACCACCAAAGGGACCAGAGACAAAAGACAGGACCATGTGAGCTGCACGACTTAAGTGTGGGGTGGGCAGAGGGCAGCAACCTGTAGGAGGGGATGAGGGATGAATAACTGGGGTGGGCAGTGTCAACTGGCCAGTGGGAGAGGCAATCTGATGTAGATTGGCAGGAGTCCTGCAGAGCAGCATGGGTTAAGTATCCTCGATCAGCCTAGGTGGGGAAAACTCTTATGATATCAGGATTCCACATTCTGCTGAATTCACACTCTACAATTTAAAGCAAAAAAAGAAGAAACTAAGGCACATGATTTCATGCTGCACCATCATGAAATCATGATACTCACATTCAGAAAGCAAAACTGTGACAAGTAACAGAAACTTACTCCTCATGATGACACAGGAAATGTTACTCATTAGTTATCATTCCCGAGTTAAAAACGTTTATTCAACTGCAAATGATGTGTCTTTCCAACAAATGCAAAACAGCTTTTTGGTCGTAAATAGCAGGTATTTATTTGAAATGGAAAAAAAATACTTCAGTACCTGAACTATTGCATTTAATCATGTATTGTTGTAATTGTGTTACTCTACCTTTTTGCATTGGAGACAAATATACAATGAACATTCAGATATCACAGATTGCACACTAGATAGTAAATCGTCAGGCCTTTTAACGTAACCACCAAAAAACAGATACTGGATTCTGCAATATAGTACAAAATTCCACACTCCAGTCTTAGCCAGTTATCTTCAATTTACTCCTGATGCTGTACAAATAAATGGCCATTTAACTAGGGCTTACAAGTTAATAACAGGACAAAAAAAATATACATTGCACTGACACAAAAAGTCAGCTGTGTTAATAGTCATGCAACAAGTAACCAAACTTGCTGAAATTAAAAATACTTTCTAAAAACAGTTTTAACTGCATAAGTATTTTATACACAGTTCATTTACCAAAACAAAAGGAGTCTTTAAATGATATAACGCAAATATAAGTTTCTACCAATTTTATACATAAGAAAGTGCAAAATAACTTATCTAAAGTGTTTTGCTATTGAACTGATGAATGTTGGCTGGAGGCAGCCAACCCCTCTCAAAAGCATGACATTACAGTTGCACACTACATACGAATGTTAGGAGTACATGGATAAGTTTACTACAAAGAACAAGGCAGGAGAAGACATGTGAGGTACTTGCAGAGAATACAGTCTACTAATGTTAGTGTACATGAATATATTTTTGCTCAACAGATTTTTACATGGAAAACAAAGCAAGTATTTGCATTAGAAGCTTGAATGAAATGGAAAAAAACCCCATTCCCACATGAACACCACAGTTGCCCACAGCACCAGCTGCCAAAGGGAATATGAGGAGGTGTGTTTGCCCCCCTCCACCTCCAACAAACAAAAACGTGTTTTTTTGGGAACAGAATTAAGTCAGAGGGCTGTGGTGGTTTGATTGCAAAATGTAAACTGTGCCTAGCCTGCCCACTGCAGAATTTTTTAAAGAATGAGGATTTCTTCAGTGCGCTGCCAACGCTGCAGGCGCAGAACAACACCCGTACACCGTGTCTGTAGCTGACAGCCCTGTCCTCAGGAGCCTGCAGCAGGACTCTGTCCTGGCTTCAGTGCTGGACCACATCAGTGTTGGTGTCACAGCCTTCTTTTATTAGGGCTTAACCATGTGGCTGTACAAGCTGCAGTCCACAGGAAAGAAGGCTTCCTTCAATTTGGGGGTGATTTGTAAATCTGGAGGCAAGGGGAGAAAAACTGTGGACTCGAAGGCATTTAAGAGTTGTTAAAACAGCCTTTTCTTCAAACAGAAAACATTAAGGCCACTAGCCTGTCTTCTGAACTATGCTGGTTTTGCATCATTTTGGGAAGGGTGAAGGCAACGTTAGAGAGAACAGCTGAACACAGAAATTCCAGTGCTCTGCACATACTTACTGAGGACGTCTTCCTGTTTTTAGGGTCAAATCTGCCAAGTAGCCAGTAGTCAGTGTGGCTACTTGACCATCACTCTTTGGATCCAAAATTTGGGTCAGCTAAGCTCAACAAACCTGCATTTACTCAACAGTGTGCAAGGGCTCTAGAGAAGCCTTTCTGTTCATTTGGGGACCTAGTATACATACCAAAACAGGAATATCTCATTTTACAGACCAGCACATACATAATAAACAAACAAGTATCAAAATACATATTTAACCTTCAGTGCATAAACATGTGATACCAGGGTAAATAGTAAGTGGTCAGAATTAACAAATTATTCACTGCTAAAAGCTCAAATCAAGAGAAGACAGGGGTGCTCCGACAGTGCCAGGGACCCTCTGGAAGGAGCTCACCCCAACAGAGAGGGCCTGGAATTTTTGATGGTGCAATTCCAACAACAACGCTGGTTTTAAGGATTTGCTGTCCCAGGGCCAGAGCCTGCCCAAGTCATTCCAAGTGAAGGATAATCCCATCCCTTTGAGTGACAATATTCACTCAAGTACTGCCAGAGTCACCTGTCTTCTGTTGATCTGGGTCATATTCTTACCTCTATTTAAAATAATCCATTGTGAATATACCTAGCTGTAGATCAGTTTGTCACTCATTTACAAAATATATATACATATGTTAAAAAACAAAACTGAACTAACCACCAGCCTGCCTGCTGCCCCTCCCTCTACCCCCTCGCTCAAACAAAAACCCACTGGGGCAAGACCTCATGCAGAAATTAAGTCCATGGGCCTATCCCAATGTACATGCTCCAATCCCAGTGGACATCAGTGTCTCTATTTCATCCCACATGTAGTGCAAAATAAATGACAGAGTAGTAAAAAAACACTGCAATTAAATTCATATTGAAACTTAAAAACCATAATGGAAAGCTACTGCTGTCCTCAAGCTGATGGTGTGTGCTGAAAGACACAGAGAGCTCCGAGGAGCATTTCTGACATGACCAGGATCACTCTGCTTTAGAGCAATGCCTGTTGTTACAAAAAGGTTTTTTGCAGAGAAGCTATGGGACACTACAGCAGTTCAGTTTTATGCACAAAAAATTAATTCTGTACCTATATGCAAAAGCCAATTGCTATTGACTAAAGAAGGTAAAAGCTGGTTCTTGCACTGCATGAATCAGCTGCTAATGAACAGTAAGTAATTAACAAAACTGCAGCTCTGACATATGTATAAAAGAGGCCTTATTAAATATGAACAACACTGAGGTGGTAAGTAGTTTGGTATAAAATGCAACACAAGTGTACAATTTAGTTTCTGGTTATCTTACAGCTAGAATAAAATACTCCAAGTCCTATTCTCAAAAACGTTTTCTTCTGAAAAAATCAGTGTAATTCTATGAATAGCCTCACTTAAATTAAGATACTGTGGGGAACTGAAAGAACAAACATGCACAGACTGGATTCTTAACAGAAATACACATAATGCCTTTGAGTTTTCCGTTTTTGTGGTTTGTTTTTTTTAACATTCATATTTAAATTGATAAATGAGATAAAGATGCCAAAGTACAGTGGTTAATCTAAAGTCCCATGTAACAGGCAGTTAAGTTCATATTTAGATAAAAAGGCCATTATACCTATTTACAATATACACATTTGCTTGCAAAGAAGGCAGATTTACAACTATCTTCTAAAAAGCCTTGCCCTCCCTCCCCCCCCAGTTAAGATGACTAACTACAAAAACAAGACAAGAAGGGGTGTTTAGGATAAGTAAGGATTTTTGTGACAGCTACCCCAGCATGGGTTCATGGGCTGCCAGTTCCATTGGATTTCTGGTTATTAACCGTGTCTTTCTGGGCCTTGCTCTTCCCCTCCTGATGCTGTTCGCCTCGTCTGCCTTCTGTCAACACAAACCAATGCAATGATCCCTTTTTACTCTTAGTGCCTAGAATGAAGTATAAACGTAAGTGTAAACAGACAATATTCCGATTCCTTCCGATGCTCTCACTGGTTCCTGGAGTGACAGTGGGGCTGGATGAGGTTTGCCAGGCCCCCATCAATTTCTGGGCCCCTCCTCTGAGCCTCGCTCGTGCTGCAGGTTGTAGAAGCAGTTCTGGCACACCCTAACCGGTGAGGAAATCTTCAGCCGTTTGATTTCTGACTGAAACCGGCTGCACCTGTGAAGAATAAACAACCATCATTGAAAACAGGTCCTCTCTGTTTCTACCCATTTTCTATTGAGCTGTGGGTATTATCACCATGACTGCAATCACCAGAAACTGTCCTAACTCACCTTGACATGGAGATGCAATGCAGTTTGGCAGAAGCAGAATTTAACTCAAATGATCACCACAGAGTCAATGCAATGAGACTGCATGACAGATAGCTAAATAACAGCTGTTGTCATCAGATTAGACTCAGATAAAACTAGAAATATCATCTTTGACCCAGAGACGAGACTTGCACTTCAGTTTGTGGGTAAGGAGAGGTCGCACACATCCTCTACGTGATACATTTTGTCTGAGCCTACCTGCTTGTGGCCCCTAAGTCAGCATCCTCACAGTCCTGCACACAGTTTAGGCTGTGGTATTTCAGAGCTTTGCCCCACCTAAAATCCTGTATGGAAAAGAGCCCAAAGGGAGCTGTTGGCTGCTTACTTCTGGCAGAACAGCTGTCCACAGTTCCTGCAGTGGTGCCGCCTCTCGGTGAGTGAGAAGCGCACGGTGCAGCCTGAGCAGCTGTCGCCGCCCTCGTCCTTCACCCAGTGGTCGGCTGCGGAGCGGCCCGGCTGATCGCTCACCGACCAGCTGAACACCCTGCCCCGGCCGTCTCCGATCAGGATCCTGCTGTGATCCCTGCAAGGAAAAGCAAAAGCATTTTTGCAACAACTCTGCCACAGTAATGCACAAGCAGCGATGCCCGATTTCAAACATCAGAGGATGTAAAAGGGAAAAGCACTGGGGTGGTGACTAATGCCCCAATTGCCCTGCTCTAAGTGGAGCTGCAACACTCTGTGTAACACAGTGCAGCCGAACAGGTCTTCCTCTCTTTAGTGTTTTTCTCTCAGTCCTTGAAGAAGGCTACACCAAACTGAAGCACCACAGAAGAGTTATGAACAATGGCACCTCTTCCTGCTGACAGCAGCCAAAAATGTTTGAAGCCTTCATGTGTGAGCTACTCACTTGGAGATGCCAAGCGCAGTGATTTCTGCTGGGTGTGCATTGTCTTTGCGATCAAATGCCGTGTGCATAGTTAGTTTGCTTCTGAACACCAGCTGACGCTCCCATCTGTATCCTACAAAGGAGTGGGAAGAGGGAGGGGATAAACCAAATTTGCTTTTTCTCATTTTTGTTCCCTCCTCCCCCAGCGTACTTGTAACTGCAACTTTGTAGCAAGAACAAAATCTCCCTCAGAGATTCAAGTTTTTCTCTTTTTCTATAACATTTCATTTAGGAATAAAACTGAGGGTTGTGCATGGTTTCTTTTACCTGGTTTGAGCTTGCTGTAGTGCCGTGCTTCACCATAGCTGGGGTGGGGGTGGTTAACCTGAGCATGGGGATGCATTTTGGCTTGTCCCTCCGAATAATTGACAAAGATAAATCCATCTTTCTCATCCAAGCTGAGCTGGTCTGACCAACGCCTGGAGTCATCAGAGCCGCTGTCTGCTGACCATGCTGCTGCTGCTCTGGCTGATGATGACCGAGGCCTGTGGCTGGTGCTGCTTGGTTGGCTCTGGCTCTCCTGCACTTTTGCATCCTGGCCTATGCATGCATCGTCTGCCTCGGAGTCACTGCTGTCCTCTTCATGGGCTTCCTGCCCTGGATTGGCACAACAGGGGACAAGGCACTTTTAGTGAGCTGGTTATGGCCTGAACTTTTTCTTTATTCTGGTGCTGCACTGCCTGCACCCCAATGGGCATCAACTGCTGAGAGAGGGACTCTGTATGCAGGCATTCAGGGACTTTTCAGAGATTTAGCTCCTGCCAGAAATCACACCATTCATATTTTTTGCACTTTTCTTGCACTTTTTTCTGTTTTGCCAGAGAACGACATGCCTTAGCTGAAGCTGTTTCCTACAACAGTCCCTCTGAGGAAGGCTATCATAGACAAAAGGAGCAAAAACTTCAGAAACACTCAGGTTGGCAAAACTTATACAAGTAAGAGCAGTCAGCTATGCTGAAACTTGGACTGAAAAATATGATGCAGACTTGCACTTGTTAACACAAAAGAGCAATTAACTAAGACATTTATATTACAAGTGATACTGAAAATAACCAAAATCTATATTTATGTAATAATTACTAATGAATATCATAAGATTCAGATCCAAATCCAGATCATATCTTCTACATGAAAAGTGCAGGAGGAAGACCAGATGGCTAAAAGAAACAGTCATAAGGCACAGACCAAAATCTTCCAAGAGCTAAAAAAAAGGTATCATTGCTTGTCTTGTTTAAGCTGTTCCATCAGTATATTCAACTTGGCTGTTATGCTATAATTCTATTTCATACTAAAAAATATCTAGCTTTTGGACAATCCATCAAGCATACCAACAGCCAAAACAAACTCAGAGAAAAGTTCCACCTTCACAGAACAAAAAGCTATGATGGGCAACATTTTTCTTACTTGTAGCAATATGAAACTACCTTAAGCAAAGTGCTGAATACAGAATGCAGACACTCTGTTCATTGTGCCTACTGGATGTCTACTGCCTTTTGAGATAAAATCTCCATCATTCCATTCTGCACTGTATACCCACAGGACTTGACCTACCTATAGCAAAGACCAGATACAACAGGGAAATACCAAACACTTGTGAGGAGACATACCTATCTGAGCATCCTGACAGTCCTCTTGCATTTCCAGCATCTCCACAGGCTCTGGAGCTGGTGTTTCTGGCACTTGCAAAAACTCCATCCGCCAGAACTGGAAGGACAGGGGATAAGCAGAGTGGCTGAACTTACTGAACTCTTGGTGTTTTCCTAAGTTACTTGAAGAGTTAAAATGGCTAAGTAGAACTGTGTATTTGCACTGCTAACATGCAAGACAGGTCCCATCTCCATACTAAAGTCTGTTTTTGAGGGCTAGAAACTATAAGAGGACATCTGTGTTCATGCCTGAATCCACTCCACACAGCTATCTGACCAGGAGATTCTGGTTAAGGCTGCACCCAAAAGTACTGAAAATTGGGTTAGACTTGTAGGTATCAGAGCTGACATTAGGCTTCTGTTTTCTTTCTAGCCAAGCAAAATTAATTGTCTCGAGGTGTATGAAACTAAAATGGTGAACCAAAACAATAGCCTCCAGGTATGAAAGCTGGTGACCAAAACAGAGCAGGAAGGAAATGTATTCTCTGCTGACTATTGCTGGTTACCACATCCCAATGGGGGCATCAATAAAGGAGAAAGAACTGTTCAAGTGAAATTCCCAAGTAAAGCAGAACTGCTTTGGTCCTGGTCAGGACACTGTGTTGTCCTGGATAGGCATGACTTTTCTACATACTACCACCACCAAGGCATAAGCTTTATTTTCCAGACAGTGATTGCTGGTACTTACCCGGACAACTCCGTCCGAATGTCCTGTTATGATGACATTCTGCGTGTCCCACTCATTCATCTCTGACACAAAACAACACATAATTTGCTGGCTTCGACCAGTGAAGGTGTTTACACTTGCAGTAGGGCTGCCATTAATGCTCCACACATGGATGTAAGTGCCAGCACATGATACAATGTCTCCCTGCAAAGACAAATAACACCTCCAGATTTCAATACAAAGTTGTAGGTATCCTTCAGCAAAAATACAGCTTGCATTACAGCTCTCTCTTGTCTTGATTTCAACCACTGCATCTGCTCTGGCTGCAACAGGGTCCATCCAGCCTTGAAGGCCATGCATGGGAGCTGGATAAATGGTGACTCGTAACTCACAGGACCACCAAGGACAGAAGCTTTTAGGATACGACTCTTTCCACTACAATTGGCACTGCACTGTCACCCAAGGTATCCCGTTTCCTTTAAATTCAGCTTAAGACAAGAGAAGCCAACCAAGATCATGTATCAAAAGCTCTTCTTAGCTTGTGCAGTAGATCTGGCAGCTCACTTGGAATGTCACACTAACTACACTGCCTCCAGCACTGTTAATAAATAACCTCTTCTGAGCTCAAGCCACTCTGCATGGAATGCAGCCATCCATTTGCTCTAGACAAATGACACAAATTATTCCTAAACCAGCTGCTAATCAGTTTTCAGACGAGTTATACAAGTTCTGCCAAATTAACAGGAGAGCCTCGTGGGTTTTTTCCTTTGGTTTAATGATTTCCAACTCTTGCTACTGTTCCTACTGCAGCCTGGTGGACAGAGTTTGGCTCTCACCGTTAATTCATTTATACAGAGTGCAGAAATTGGAGCCCTGTGCCCTCGGAGCTGTGTCAGGAAGGAGAGTTTGTTCAGATCCCAGATGATGCAGGTGCGATCCCGGGATCCACTCACAATTATGTGATATGCCAGCGATGCCGTTAAGCACGTGACAGTGTCAGTGTGACCCAGCAGTGCCTGCAAAACACAAGGCAGAAGCAAAAGTGAAAATCAGGAGAGAGCACAAAAATTCCACATCAAAGCCTCTTACCTGAATAACCAGAATATCCCATCAGAAGATGCACCCACCTTATAAGTCTTCAGTTGATAACTATTTCCATAACTGAAAATGGCAAAAATAATATTTTTTCCCATTTAAAAAGAGCTCTGACAAAACAAAATTTCAAGGGTCTAATGTTACAGATCCTTCCACTGAAGAAAACTCTATACTGCATCAGGAGCCTTTAAGGCCAGAAAGTGTTCCAGGCTGCACCTGAAATTACATTCTGACTCCTACAGCAACTGCTGATGACTAAGAGAAGACAAAAGAGATGAGAAAGAGATACAGCCAAAAAAGCAAAGTCAATAGGAAGAAGGAGAAAAGTATGAGTATCTACACATATTAGGCCCTACTTTTACTATTAGGCTTAATCTAACTATTGGAAAAAGAATCTGAAATACAGTCAGACTACTGCACCTTACTCAGTTAAAATAAAACTTGCTGAATAGAGTAAATATATTCACATATGCTGCCCCCAAAATTTAAGATACAGTGTTTTATCGTGTACAGTTTTAAATAAAAACATTTCAGAAAAACAGCTTTGGACAGTTGATTACTGCACAAGAGTAAATAATTCTCTAAATTTCTTTTAATAAATTTGAGGGAAAGACTTCCTCTAAAAAACAGTTGAGATGCTAATGGAACAGTAACACAACCTTTAACAATGATACATTGCCAGAATATCTAGACTTACTTGTGGTTGGGTTTTTTTGGTTACATTTGTTGGGTTTGTTTTTTCTTTAGTAAACACACAAAACTTACTCTGCACTTAGCTGCAGCTGACTTTAAAGCATGGGTGCTTGTTTAAGATTAAAAAGTGCTGTAATTGATTTTTTTTTTTTTTAAAGAGGAAAATTAACCTTTAAGGCAGCTTGTGGCGAGGGGTGGTCCTGGACGGTTGGGAGGGATGGAGAGATCTCTGAAGTCAGGCCCCAAGGAGTGGGGGCAGAGCGAGATAGTGAGAGAGAGTTCCAAGAGAGGGCCCAAGAGGGCAGAGAGAAGGGATGGGAGAGAGTGCCCTGGTCTCCCGGGTACACCTTAGCAAGGGGGCTTCAAAGTGGGTGCAGAATAAAACTTTGCACCAATGGGATTACAGATACATGATACTTCAGGGGAGGGTTACAGGTGCAGGATAAACTACACATTTTTGTGGGATGAGACAGAACATTTTATCTGACCCATGGATCTGTCTGTGGGTCAAAAAGGGGAGTTACCTTCCACTAGCTACACCCCTGTCCACCAGTTGCTTAGCAACCAAGGTCTGAAATCTCAAATCTTGTTCTCATCTCAATTTTACTCAGTCTCTGTATTTTCCAAATCCTTTGCCACGCAATTGTATTTATAAGCCTTTCCCATTTCATCTTCTGCAACAGCAGCCTCCTTTTATGTCCTTCCTGACACAGTTTTTAGATGGGGGTATTACATGTAACACTAGAAAGCAGATAATTTCACAAAACTCACCTGTATAATTTTGTTAACATCACTAGGAAATGCCCTTTGTCTCCAGAAAGCTCCTGGTGATCCACTATTCTTAAAAACAATGCAATTTTAAAGGTGCATTTTGCCCACTTTCAATGCAGATTACCATCTCAACTACTCCATTTGCCTGAGATCTGCTGGACTCATGGTTTTAAAGGTGAGCAACACCCATTTACACAGTTACTTTGATGTTATAACATTACTTTACAGCTTTACTGTATTTTACCTGTTTCAGTGTGAGAGCTTTAGCTTTTTCTTTAGAGACACCCATTTCCCATACACACACTGCTGTGCTTGTTCCTCCAGTGATAACTAGTTTGGGGTTGGGGCAAATGGCACACAGGATCTGACCCCATTCTGATAAGCATTCATAAACAATCACGGCCTAAAAATATAGAAAACAAATAATTACTTGCAGAACTAGTACTTTGTAGGATAAAAAAACACCTGGCTGCCGCCTTGCACTCATTAGGTCACTAAGACCTGATAAAAAACTATTACGAGTTAATTGTATTCTGCCAGTGTCCTGGTGAAGGCCCTCAAGAGGGAGCAAAAAAACCTGATGCAGTAGAAGATTATTTCATTCACATGTAAAATAAATGTCCATTGTTATGTTTTTTTCACTATTGAGTACTGATTACTGGAACAAATTTCAGATTACAAACCTTGTCTGACTCATAGGTACCCAGTCTGCAGCTGAGGTCTGCATAGCCCCAGGCAAATGTTTTATTCCACGTGGGTGGGATGAGAACCTTGTTCTGTTCTACTGCCAGAATGCCTTTATCAGTACACACGATCTGCCCCACAGGCTCCTTGAGCTCTGAAAGAGAAGATGAGGTTATGTTTTATTGCTGGGAGAGACAAATACTATCTGATCCCTTTGAGTACCTGCTGCTCTTCCAAAGCTAGGTCTCCGTAGTGACTATTTATACATTCTCTGCATCAGCTACAGTGATGGCAACTTTTGCTCCATTCCTAACAAATGCAGGGCCAAATATAGATTAGTGCTTTCTAATTTCCTGACTTAGAGTCTTCTCTCTAAGCCCTGCTATGCCCCATTTAATAGAACGCCCTTCTCTCCTTACAGCAGGGAGCCACAGATTATGCTTTACTCAGCTAGGAAAGAAATCCCTGTATAGCATTTACCTGCCTTGCAGACAACTAACTTTTGTTCAGTCCAATGTCAGATTTGAAGTAAAAAACCACTTTGTCTCAGTGCAGCTACCAACACCACACTTTCCTGCCAACATTCCTTAGTATTTCTTGGCACTGATAAATAATCCTTTTGCTGTGAAAATCACAAAAATAGAGGCTACCACAGGCCCAGAAACAACATACTCCAAATGCTGTTTGTTAAATTCAAACTTATAAAGAGGTGCTTGGGCTCCATTTTATCCCTCTATTTAAAAAATGTCATATTAAACTGGTGCAGCTATGGTGTTTCCCAAATTCCTTTAAAGTAGCTAAGAACATAACAGTACAGCATTAGGATATTTTGAATTTGTCTTTCTCACAAAACTATGGGCAGTAAGAATATTAGAAGTAAGAAAAAGATGGCAAAGAAAAAAAATCTTGCTGAAACTCTGAATGCTTGGGCAAAGAAACAGCAATAACAACTGTGAGTTTAAAGTTTACCTTTCACTGGGGCAAGAGATGGCCGCAGGTTGTCCAAATGATGGAAAAAGATCTTGTCACCTGTGGAACCAGGGGGCACAGAGGTTCCCACAGCCTCTCCATTCAGACGACTTCTAACACGCTTTGGTGGGTGAGGTTTTTTGAAGAGCTGAAATTCATCAAGAAACTAATTATCATCAAAAATTACAGGTTTACAAGGGCACTAACTTAAATAGATCATAAATACATCCAATGTATCTTCTAAAAATTCTGCAGGCAAGCAAATGCTTTACTGCTCTCAGTATTCACTAATAACTAACTCATGGTGAACATTTCAAAAACCTTCAACACACAATACGAAAACCCACAAGGAGCAAAGTTGTTCTGCCCCCTCAGGCTGTGGCATTTTGGCACCCTCATGGAGTTGAGAGCCCCCTTCCAAACACACCACCAGCTCTGCAGTGTTTTGCATCATAACTTTTTAAAATATAAACCAAAACTGCCAGGCACATTACTAGTGGAAGAGATGGGACAAAGATGTATGTTACATTGTGCAGGAAAGGAGTGCAAAAATGCACAGCAGCCGTGTCACTGAGAGAGCCTGCCCTGGATCCCCTTTGGAAAATAACAGAAGGAAACAGCAAAACTCTACAGTTATATAAAAATGTGCTCCAAAAGCACTCACCATCAACGAAGGCTTAAGGAAGTTCTGAGTTTCCCAAGTTTACTGCAGTCTATTTCCTCTAGCAAAGCATCATGCACTTCCTGGTAGATTTTACCACAGCTTTGTACCTAACAGGCATCTGAGGACGCAGGCAGAGCTTGGGACTCAGCTGCACTGCTCTTCTATGGCCCTGCCCTCTGCCCCAGTCCCTGTCTGTCCATCTGGCTTTAGCTGGGCCACGTCTGATTATCATCACAGAGGGATTGGTTATTACATAAGAGGGGAAAACCCTACAGACACTACAGAATTAGATTATTGAGAGCAAGGAAGGGAAAAGAGAAAATCCAGAGAATACAGATGAGCAGTTCTTATCCTTCCTTCCATGCAATGAGAGACATATAGCTCTAAGTGGGTTGCCACAGGAAATATCTTGTGGCTGTCCTGAAACATTATGTGCTGAGAGTTGAGTTTAGAGTCTCCAACACATTGCTTGAATTCCCAGCCAATGCTGAAGATATCTGTGGCTTCCACCAGATCTAGGATTGGAAATATTTACCAGACACTTAAGATTTTCACTGGATAGTAAAAAGACTCCAAAGAAATGCCCAATAAAAACCCAAATCAAAACAACCAACACTGAGACACCCCCAAACCTGAACCCCAAGATTTAATATTACATTGAATTATTTAATGTAGTCGGTTGAAGAGAAAACAAACTTTAAAGCTGCACCAAAAACTGGTCTTTACAGCTCCTTAACTACGGCTGTCCTTCAAGAGTGAATCACCCATGAGACTAGGATTAAAAAAAAGAAGCAGAAGTTATTACAGAAATTGTTTTATTACAGGGTAACTTCCAATACCTTAGCACTAGGCATTACTTTGAAGTTGCACTTTCATTCCTCTCCTATGATTTTGCAGCAGGAACGTATTTCTCTTTTGAGCTATAATTCATTATGCCTTTATTTTAAGGATGTAAAGGGAAAAAAAAAGACATTTCTAATCTCACAAGTAAAGCCCAAAGTCAATCTTTGTGTAGTTTATGATTTCGTATCACTGGAAGAATATTTATGAATAAACACTGCCAAGAAGTTTCATTCCTAAAACACCTTCCTGTTTTATATTAACACATTTCAATTTGAGTGTTAACTGGAAAGTAAGAATTCTATGAAGAGTATACCTGCTTTGGTATTTGTCCAAAGTTATTAATGAATCCTATGGTAGCTGTCTCTTTTAAAGGATCATTGATGTTATATATGTCCACTTGTCCCTCATAGAAGAGATGGTGAAATACATTTACAGCTTCTACTGCAGCAGGACCTTGCTGTTTATAGCCAAAGATCAAGTCAATCCACTCATGCAGGTGAGCACTCACAAAGTCACATTCCAGAGCCTGAAATTCAGAAGGCATGCATTAAAATGAGACAAACTGCTCATTGGTTGAGTTTACTACACTTGCCACATGGAGAAACGCAGAACATGATTTGATGTATTTTTGTTACATTTTGACAAAGCTTTTCATTAAGCAAGTCTTGCCTCAGAGTATTCTGCAGCCGAAAAGGAGAGAGAGGAAATGCTGGCTCTACAGACCTTGGCAATAATTAGACACCAACCCTGAACTCAAAGACTGGCCTGTGACTGCACAAATTGAGCTTAGATTAATGTGCAGTGGAAAGTCCCAACAGACATTCTTACTCTCACCATTGAAATTCAAATTACCTCCCGATGGACTCTGATAAATTCACGAGGATCTCCTTTTGCCCATGGTGGGAGTATTACATCACCAAGTTTAGTGCCATTTTGTTTACAACCTAATAAAAAGAAAAAGAAGGTAAAAATTTGGAGCACTGACACTGAACTGTAATAGCAAACGTGAGAAAAAGAAAAAAAAGGCAAATAATCAAATTCTAGTATGTAAGTATAAAGGAAGCCATTTCAGTCTTTAAAAGTTTTAAATGTCAGGCAATAAAACATGAAAAATTCTGCCTCAGTTATTCATGTAAGATTGCTTTCAGGAGAAAGAATGCAAATACTCCTCACTAAGGCTTCTGAAGAGGAAAACAGTATTTTATCATAGAATGAAATTGTCGTTTTACTTCTGAGAATTGCCTGTACTGCTGTGATATGTAGCCAAATACTCATTTCCTAACAGTGCAGAGCTAACTGGTATCCCCCACAAGCTCCATGCCCAAGGATACTGGCAATTCCCCTTATATATGCCCATGACCTGGGCACAATTCATTTACCCTGTCCTGGACAGCCTCATTCTCACTCTGGACATCAAATAGTGGCATGCTGTGATCAACAAAAATGTGTTTGGTAAAACTCCTCAGTTATATTCTTGTTCTGTCACTTGTTGTCAAGAGACAACTCCACACTTCATATTAACTCAGAGGAACACCTACAAATTTCCTACTTTACAGGGTCACACAAAAAATAAGTGCAATGCTCCAACAGAAACATTACTTGCATCACCAAACTTCAAATCTTCCTTTCTTTTCACCTGGGAGGAAGGGAAGAAGGATTGCTACAAATTACCATAACCAAAAGTATCTCAGTGTTTGACAATTGCTCCTAAAAGAGCCTTTTCTACTGTTGGTCCAAATGCTCAATGAAGAATTTCCAATGGTTACAGTTCAAAATTGTCAGATACAAAGATAAGTGGACAAGAGCTCAACATTTTTTCAGTAATACCCTAATTCTTTCGAGTAAAATATAGATGGAAGAGGTTTTGCAGAGTGTTCTTTGGGTTTTGCTTTTCTTTTTTTGCAAGGTTGTACTTCCAATCTGTTCCAATAGATTTTGAATAAAGGCTTGCAAGCTATTGAAACCTATGATTTGATTAATCTTTATTACTGGTAATAGATTCACAGCACAGAGCTCAGAATATAAGAACTTAATGCCAGTGTTAAGAGTGATAGAATAAGTAACATGCATCTCAAACAAACAGGTCTCCTACACAACTCCTGATGAATAATCAGTGTCACAACAGCTGTGACAATTCAAAAAAACCATTAGGAATATTTTCAAATTAATTTCTAAAAGTGAAGATTTGTCAAACAGATTTTGAGAAGTTTAAAAAAATAAATCACAAAGAAGGTGAACACCATCATGGAATAGGTTACATGGAGAAAAATGCAAAGCAGAGAAACTCTAAGTAGAACATGATTATCTGTACATTTTGAACTGGTAAAAAACCCAAAATTGACAAAAATACACCGCTGCAAACAAAAGTCTTTTCAGGGACTAGTTCTGCAGTTCTCAGAAGACACTTTGTATTAAACTGCTTACAATGAACACTCACGGCTTGAGAAAATACCTGAAGTCTGCCTGCCTCTGTTCTCCCACACACAGCACGGCTATCAAGCTCTTTTTGCCTACCTAGGTCAAAATTGTTGGAATTGAGCAGGAACTCGGGGAGGTAGAAGAACTCTGGGATGAGCTCCTTCACATCTGCCATGTTGTGCTTGGAGGCGGAGTACCAGGCCTCGCGCACGCTGTGGAACATGCGGTCAGCCAGGTCAAAGTGACCACCCTGCCGGCAGAGAGAGGAGCACGTCAGCGGCACAGCATCCCCCAGCATGGCAGCCTTTGCCAGGAAGGCAAATCAGAACAGCCTCTGCCACATGAAGATGCTAGAACTAGCATGTTTCTTTCTTTAATGCAACTGATCTCATCAGCTGCATTACTTTCAGGTACATGAGAACAGAAAATATGGATACAGAGATACAGAACTTTAAGAGAAGAGTTATCTGTCTGATTTCAAGTCTAGTCTCTTTCAGAGAAACAGCAAAATAGTTTTCACAATAAAACTCGTTTTGGTTTTTGTCTGCTGCTAATTTGTTTTGTGCACATTTAGAAAAGTGTACAAACTACAAGGGAAAAAAAAAGGTGAATTCCATCACATTTCTAAAAAAGACATATCAAAAACCTGCCAGGCAATAAGAATTCTGCTAAAAGGTGTTTCTTCTATGATATTTAATGAAAACAAAGCTGACTGATCTTATTTCCCAGTGATGTCTGAAATGCACAGCAGGCAAGAAACTTAAAGTGAGGTGATGTAATTTTTACCTGTAACCGTAAGAAAATCTGAGTAAAAGGCTCCATCCGGACAAGATAGGAAGCCACGATCATGGCTGAGGAATAGTGAGTCCCATAGTGATAAGCTGGGGTTTCCCCTGCAGATTAAAAATCATAAACATAGGAGAAATAAGGTAGTTAGGTGACAGAGTCAGTACTAACGGGAAAAAATATTAACACTGCATTTTAATTACTTTGTGGACTTGGGCACATTCAGAACTGGAATTTGTAATTTTCATTCTCAGATATCTGAAAGCTTTATGTTTTCTCACTTGAGTTTGGGCTGCAGTGCAGTAGCCCTAATTAAAAAGGGTTCTGCAAAGCAGTACTGAATGGTTACTCATTTTTTATTTTAGCTAATTGAAATGCTGCAATGCAACTACGGTGATTTCTGCTGAAGAAACATTTTTAAAGATACCTTTTTTAAGTTTTGGTGGTTTTTTTTTACTATGGATTTAAAATCTTGGGCAGAAACACGCATCAAAACTGTTGCCTAAATTTTGTACATCTTTTACTTTCTTAATTTCCTGGCAAAATGTCTACACAAGCACACTTAGAAAATACTGATTTGTTTCTAAAAATGAATATCTTTGCCATCTACTGCTGTTTGACATAGAACAGCACTGCAGTAGTTAAACAGACCTCTATCTTCAATGAAAGCACACAAGAAAACTTGTCTTGCCAAACACAGAAGTTTTATTTTCAATATATAAGGAAGCTCTAAAATCATGACTAGGTAACTTAATTGTATCTCATTCTGAAGTTTTTTTTCTCCTTAGCCAAAAAAACCCACACTTTAAGATTAGAAATGAAAAAGCTAGAATACTGCTAATGCAGAAGCATTTGCATTCTTTGTACTACTAATTTTCATGCAGCAGCAGCCAAACTGTATTAGCAGACACAGCTGCTTGTGTGCTTCACCTGCCTGCCCATTCCATTCTTTATATAATATTAAACTCATCTAAAAGTGCAACTGTTCTTTGTTTTTACATATAAACAAAGGTGTAATTTAGATTTAAAGCAAACAACACAGAAAGAAAGCCAATGTCCATTTGCTCTAATTTAGACTTTGTTGGACAGTCATAAAAAAACCCCATGGTAGAGTTCTGCACATCATATCCAGATCTCTTTACCCACATTATAAAAAAATCTGTGAGTCCCTGCTATGATGACAGGTGCATGTTCCTTTTTGCTCTTTCTGCAGGGTGGATTATTACTTACCATTGGGATCTTCCCAATCCTTGTATCGCTTCTTGTACTGGGCTAACCTGTCCTCTGTTTGAGCTCCCATGGGCTTGGCCAGGTTTCTAAATGTTTTGGGATTTGTAAGATCCAGTTCCTTTAAAAATACATCAGATAACAATTTCATAAAACCAAACCACATCATTTGAAAACTGCTGATTACCACAGTTAACACCACCTACCTCTTAAGGCTGTTCTCCCTACTTTCTACACATACAGCAAGTGCAATGTTGGATATGTTTAAAACAGTCCTTCAGTATGATCCAAGACAGTTATCACATTTTATCTGAAATCACTCCTGGGCCCTGCACAACTTTTGCCTGCTCCTCTTATCCCTAGTTCCCCTTAATTTTTCCACAATTACTCAATAAGTCCTCTAACAATATTTTATTTAATGGTCTGGTTTGTGGCAATGGCTGTCCACAAAGGCATTAATAGGATGTTTCACCTTTTTCAAAAGCCATGGGGCCAGATTTCATAGTAGTCCCTACCATGGTCTTCTGGACAAGGATGCTTTCTCTGTGGGCTTCGCATACTTCAGAATACAGAGTTTAAACTAATCCAGCCATTTATGGGAACTGCTGAAAGGTAGAGGGGCAAATGGCTCCTCTGGATCTCAGCTCTCACTTGTGCATGGACCAACAACATCTGTAAAATCAGCCCAGCCGAGATTCTCTAATACCCTCCCTGCTGGAAAGTGGGAGAAACAAAATAGAAACCTTCAACTTTTATGTAAGATTACTAACAAGATTGACAAGATGTTTTATTTACCTCTGAGTCATAGTCTGCAAGGATCCAGGGGAAGACAGGGTACTGCATGAGGTCATTATAGGATCTGCCGGCTAGAGTGTTCAAGTGCATCAGGTACTGGAAGTTACTGATTTCTCCTCTCTTAAGGAAGACAGATAAAGTTTTCACTTTGCAACTTTGCACAGTAAAGTTTTCACTTTGCAACTATCAAATGTCAACCTGCCAGACTGTCAATGTGCAGCCCTCCCCAAACATAATAACTTACTTCAATATTGCAATGCTCACTCTACTTTTACTATAGCCCTCCCCCTGCAATTCAACAGTAGAATCATTTCCTATTTGATGATGATATCATGAAATATTAAAAATTAAACGCTGAGATATATTTTCTACAACAGTATGTTCCACCTGTTAGAGTAAGAAGATGCAACTTATGTGTACTGATTATTTATGTATCGCTACAAAATGTGGAATTCAATACAAAACTACCCCAGCATTTTCATACTTACTTCCCATCTTTGAGTAACAGATTTTTCTCCGACTAAAGTGCTAAGCAAGCCAGACCTAGCGGGAAGAAGAAATTAATTTCTTGACTTTGCAGTAAGAACTGGGTTACATCTTCACAAGACAACCCAAAATTTCAAGATCAAACGTTATAAATTTCAACCATTATAAGAACACGTATCTTTTCATTTTTGCTTTTGCAGTACCTTTTTTTTTGAATTCTAAACACACACTGTAAAAATTATGCATGTTAATTATGCAATTCAGTGCAAGTGGTGGCTGATGAGTAAAATATTTTTAACAACTTGGATAAATCTGATGGCTTCAGCACTCCAATTCCTTTCAGAATGTTTCAGTATACTGATAACGTTAATTCTGATACTCTCCAGACAGTCCTGATATCAATGCAAACATAATTTATTGACGTACAGAGGTTGTGAGGAACAGAACCACCTACCCTTGCTCTACGCTGGTGTTTGGTCTCTGCCCAGATACTGACTCCGAGCTGTCGGTCAGAGATGGCACCACAGCCAAAAACCTGCAGCAGCAGTTAAAAGATTATGATTAATGTTTCTACCCTCAGAATGTCATCTTCTGAAAAGCAGTATGCATTTAGTACAGTTACAGACTTCTTCTGAGCAGCTCCATGACATCTCCAACAAAACCACAGGAGCCTCTTCTCCCTGAAGGCATGCAGTGCCCTCTAGTGGCTCTTTCCTGCAGCGGCAAGGTGCTAGCAGGCACCAAAAAAGCCTCCACATAGGTATTTGCAAACATTCATGTTAAATACTCTAATTTATTTTACACTACCTTTGATAAACTTTGTTTCTAACCCCTTTCTGGAAAGCTAGAAGATAGTTCCGTCCATCTCCTGAGAAAACTTCAATTGCAATTGGCTGAAAACAAAGAGGACAAACTCATGTCAACAATAACTTATTTTCTTGTCACCTCTGAAGGTCAGGCACAGACCATGCTACATGCTGCACTAAATTATGGTGAAGCAGACTTTGCTTAGTGCAACCAAATGTTTTATTTTTGGACCACTGACACTGACTAACACACCCAATAAACTGGGTAAGTTCCAACAAGGATATCCAACCTAAATGCTTCAATTTCAACACAGTCAACAGCTTCACTTTCCAAATACTCTTCAGTTATGTACTGATTTTCATTTCTAAAAATTACATCGTCAAAACACTGCAAATATGCCTCCCCCTATCCAAAAATGGTGTCCAAGTTACCTGCAAAAGGTATCTCCTTTTATGCACTTCCTTGATATCTTCATATGCGAAAATGCTGCAAGTTCTTTTGAGTTGACTTGGACCTTGCCTTGCTCCCCTAGGTATGATTGGCTCATGCATCCTGTAAAGGAACATAAGCAGGCACAAGAGAAGTGATTAAAAAGAAGAGGAATTTTCTTCTTGGTAAAGAATTATCCAATTAATTCATATGAGAGTCCAGTTACAGAAACAGCTGGTAACACATTTTCACAATATACCATACTACAAATTGCTCAGTACCTTAGGTTTTCCTGCATCGTACCTGAGGTCTTCCTGCATCTTGGAGTTGAGTCCTCAAAAACCTCATTGAATACTTCTTGTTCAGCTTCTAAGGGTCAAGGAAACTCTTTATGATCATAATGTACTCACTTTGGAGGCAGTGTCTCAATGTCCCGTATCTCCCTGGTGGCTGTCATGGTAAACCCATCAATGACATAGAAATGCTCTTTCCCAAAAAGAAGCAGCCCTTCGCTGGTGTCAAGGCCCTGAACCCGAGCACAGCGGTACATGTGCTGGATCTATGAGGAAAAGCAGATGCTTAGGGAAAGCAGGTTAAGGAGCACAGGCTCAGACCACTGCTCTGTTAGAACAAGTGAGACACTGCTGTATCACTTGCACATACAGCAAAATTCCTGCCAGTCTCCCCTTTCATCAGACCTAATACCAGTGTCTAGTAATTGAGGAGGAGGTCAGATAAAGCCTCATTGGTATGATACAAATATACCTATTTACCAACTAGTTCATCCACTTGCACTATGCTGCCTGAACACATTTTAGAACCTGCAGCCTACTCAACCATGATCACAATGCTATTCAATGGTATACTTCAGATGGACAAAGCCTAAAATACCAAATACACAGCGTGGTAAATCAACACTGATCTTGGTGATAAAATACTACTTATCAAGGTTTCCCATTGTAATGAAGGGAACAATTAATTAGGAACAGTGTGCCAAATACAGCGTTTATATTTTTAATGCTTATTTTCTATCCTGATCATTAAGTTGACAGGATAACAAACCAAGTATGGTTTGTTCATAGCCTTCATTTCAGGTAGGTGAATTTTTCCCTTGCAGGCAGAAGGTAAAGAAAAAAGACCATGTTTCCAGTGCAGCATTTTTAGGGTCAGGCACACAACGTACACATTTTAAGGAAGAAGCTGATGAAATATACAGATCAAGGAAGATATATATGACATTTATTCATGTTTGGAAGACATAATTAAGACATTCCAATATATTAAGTTCTTAGTGTGTTTAAAATACACAGTACCTTCTCTCCTTCTTCAAGAAGTCGAAGCAAAGTTGTATTGTCAGTCTTCTCCTCTTCATCAATTGAACTCCCCTCAACAATTTGATCCTGTGACTGGTCCTGGTTCTCATCGTCTCCTCCATCAGGAGCAGAGCGAGATCGTTTCAGGGGAGGCTTCACCAGGCCTGGAAAAGAATAGAGACAGATAAACGTCATAAAGAGACATAAAAAATTAACTTCACAAAACCTACAATCTTTCAAATTACCCAATGCTAAGAGAGCAAAACAAAAGTTTTGTTTTAATGCAAATGCATGCGAGGATGACAAACTAAGCCATCTAACCTTTGACTCTTGCGATAGTGTCCTCCCCGTGCTCTGGCTCCTGCGGAGCTGTTTCACCCACTGTGTTCTCTTCTATGGCGTCCTGGAAGACCGTGGGGTTTCCAGAAGCCAGGCGCATGTAGTACTCCTTGCTGTCATAACTGATGGCTCTCCGGTAGCGAGCAGGTTTCTTGGGAATAATGGAAGAAATCACTTGGTCAGCCAACTCCTCACTCAGTCTCTCAGTGAAGGTCTTTTAGGAACAGGGTGTGCAGCACAGTGCATGCCCACTGAGTGTTTTGTGCGTGCTCGAACACCAACACAGATAGGAACAGAAACTCTTCAGGAGAGCTGATCTGTTGGCTAATTTGCAAGGAGCTATAGTGCCACTCAAGCAAACAAGGGGCTACAGAAAAGCCTGCAGACAGAACTAGAACATGGGGAGTAGGTGTAGCCAGTATGTTATGAACTGTCATAAAGCTGGAATTCTTGTGCTTAACACTGATAGCTCAGAAGGCTATTTTATCATCTTTTTACTCCCTATTAACATATGCAGTTTATTTGTTAGCCAGCTGACTTCTTTGTTAGGCAGTAATTTGAATAAAAAATTGCCTCAAGAAGATACAAGAATGTGGAAGCTCGTATGAACTAAAAAGCACCAATATATTTGCTTTAAGTCTCAAAAATTCTTCATTAATTTAGTTGTTTCTTTTTTTAGTAAAGTTTCTGATGGTTTATGGGGAGGAGACTGGCATAAGAATATGCATGTACCTGAAATAAATATTTGAGCATTGTTTGTACCTTTGTGTGGTGTTTTTGGTCTTTTTTTGTGGGGGGTTTTTGCTTTGTTGAGCGTTGTTTTGGTTTGGGGATTTTTTGTGTGTGATGTTTCCTTCCTTTTTGTCTATCCCAACCCCCATCACAGTGTAATTCTTATGTTCCTCACTTAATTAAGGAATCAAACTAGTTTTATTACAAGTTGATTCTCAGAATGATAAAGATACTAAGATCAGCAACACAAAAATTTATTATTCAGGTCAAATAGGCTGCTCCCAAAAATCAAAAATTTAAGGCACTGTAATTTAATTTGCTCACTTATATTTAACCAAGTCTTCACTCCTTATCAGCAAAAAACTGCCACTTAAACAATGCTTAAAACATTTGTGGAAACAACTTATGTATAACCTACAAAGATAAATCCTTTAAAGCACTGCTAACATGAAGGAAAGAAGAACAGTAACAATTTATATTAGATATTCTGTATAATAGAATTATTTGCACTTATATGAATTAGATAATTGTAGAAGGTAATTCAAAATGAGTGAATGCATATTACTGTACTTAGTGATGGGCAAGACCACGACTCTAATTAACAGAGAAAGGCATAATACTGAAATGCTGGCAGAGAAGCCATTTCCAAGCATGTCTATTCTTTTCAAGAAAGGATTCATATGTTTTTAGCAAATGTGTGCATTTTATTAATAGCAAAAACGAAGAGTCAGCTAAGACAAATATGGGCTTTAACAAAAATCGGCCTTTTAAAGCCCATTATGGACAAAAAGGAGAAAAAACACTTCCCTCTCTTAGAAGGAAACACTTTCCCAGTAAGTGCTTCCAAGTGATGTTGCCCATTACTAAATGTGTTCCACTGACCAATAGTTTCAGTCCCAAAGCCACAACACTCCACACAGTGAGAACAGTGGTAGCACAGCCCAACACATCCTGTTAGTGTGCAGCAAAGAAGGGAAGGTCTACAGAAAGTTTTATTAGGTGAAGGTTGAAGACAGCACAGTAACATCTTCTAATGTGATTACTGAAAAAACGCTTAGGTCTGGAATTGTTTACTGAAAGAGCAAGTTGAAAGCCAAACGTAGAAGCCTTGTTAAGACTGCCTAACATGCAAGAGAAATTGTATTTATTTCACATTCTTTCAGTCAGTGTACTTGTTTCTTTACCTTTTGAGAAATGGTATCATCAGATGTCTCAGGAAGTCTGTTTGAGAAGTCAGACTGGAAACAGGGCATCAATTACATAAGCATCAATTACATCAGAGAAAGAACACTTCTGAGAAGAATGTATGATGGAATGTTCTCTACTTCATGTGAATTACACTGTCACTACAGGTATTGTGTGTCAGACCACAAGCAGGCAAAAATATCTAATAGCTTAAAATTGACTGACTTAAATGTTTTTCTCTGCTTTTTTAAAGTTCTTTGACACTCAAGACATAATTTGAGGGAAAAAAATCCTGCATGCATACACACAGGCTTAAAAAGACATAATAAAGACTGCTTCCTTTCTTAAAAGCAGCATTTCAAAATTAATAGGAACTAACTGCAAAGCTTTCAAAGGCCACAAACATTTCTGCTCCACAGTCCACCATCTTCACAGATAGACTGAACCTCACACAGTAATGGAACTTTCAGTCTCTGAAGGCTTCTGAAGATGCCAGTGCTGTTTGTTGGCAGGATCACTCAGCACACCTCACATTACATTGCAATATATCCAAATTTGCTTGAGCCAAGTGACACAATCCCTTCCCTAAATATATAATGAAGAACAACTGGACTTAACCAACCATTTAGGACAGAGAGAAGAATAACAGGTCTTATGGTCTTATCAACAGAGTAAAGTATCCTTCTTAAGAAAAACCTATCCAAAAAAAAAAAAAAAAAAAAAAAGCACTTTACAACAGGATGTGTAATCACCCATCCCAAACTCCTGAGTACTTACCATCAAGTTTGTTTCCTGCTCAGCCTCGGGCATGTAGGGATACTGAGTATAAAACATGTCATTCCGCACCATCTTTTTCCTCATTCTGCAGGGCCCCTCAGTCATCTCCAGCATCCACTTGTCAAGGTGGGAGCCGATTGGGGGCCCCCAGAGCCCTCGCTCTCGCAGTAACTCATACTCGATTTGAGACCACTCCTCAGCCACGTATTTCAATGCATTCTGCTGACGCTGAACACAAAGACATTTGTAAATACACAGAATTAAAAAAAATATTTTAAGAATATTTAGCTGACAGGAGGACTTCCTGTCCTTATTTGCACAGGAGAGAGAAGTTCATTGAAGTAAAGCTTGGTGTTTTTTTTTAACAAATTGCTTTAAATGACCTGTTTCTCTCAGAAGTTATTTCTTAAGATTTATAGCACGTAGCTCAGCAACCAGTTTGAACGAAATGTCTTTGAGAATGTTTGGCAGATACCACAGGGTGGAACAATTTCATTCTGGAAGGCACAGACCAGCCACTTTCTATTACTGCATGATACCATAAAATTTTCTTTGTGTTACTATGAAAGTAGCATTTAGACACAATGCTTCTCCACATTTTCTCTTAGTTTTTCTACGATGTTTTAGAAATACAATGTATTTCCAATCTCTCTCTTTTTGTTCCCTGCTTTGGTTTTTTTTACACTTGTTAGAAATGTAAGCTTCTTAAAAGAAATTCACATTTAACACGTGATATTGCTACAAGAGTTTTCATCTACAACCAAATCGAGTTTCCTCGTTTGTTTATTTGATTGTACCTAAAAACCCCTTAAAAATAACAACTGTACGTAAGCATTCAAGCATTTCACCAATGAGAGTTCAATATTTCACAAGCCTCATTCTGAGAAAAATGCACTGGTACAATCTTAACAGGCCAAAGTATCAGCATCAGGTAATTAGCACTGCAAGCTATCCATACCTCCTGGTATTCTTTATACTGCATATCAACCAGGTCCCGAACCACTGCAATGTGAGTAAACATCCACTGGGAAATTTCCTAAGACAAAAACAAAGTGACAAACAGAATAACACTTTATAAACAAGAGTTTGTTTGAATGAAAAGCCTAGGAATACATCACATTGCTAAACTTGTTTACAAAGAATAGTTCCTTAAAATAAACATTCAGAACATTCCTAAACAGCCAAAGATTGGCACTGAGTAAGATTACTTTTCCCTTCTTCCTTTTTGAACAATATTTTGTGGATGGTGCCTAGTTTGCTGGAAATCCTCAAGACACCCTTTGTCCCATGGTATCTCTGTTTTCACTTATTGCTTCCTTTCCTTATACAACCAGGAACAGTTCCTGTCAGCTCTGTTTAAGTTCTTCCCTTTCCCTTTCATTATATACTTGCTCACCAGTAAAAGGACTGAGAGCACTGAGAATTCATTAATTTCTCAAAGCCACTGACTAATTTTCAGTTCAGAAAGAGAACTAGCAACATATTTTCCCACAAAACTTTCAAACCCCTCTTTCCATCTTGAGGGCTGAACAAAAAAACCCCAACATCTGTATCACAGCTTCCATTTCACTGCAGTATTGCAAGCTGAATTTAAGACCCAGACTATCACAGTCATGAACCAGAAGCAGCTGAGCAGCTTCACTGACAGTGAAGGGTTGGACTCTTAGCTTAATATTACAGGTATGCAGATCGACCTACTAAATTAGACACACAGAAGCAAGATGCCCAGTCTGCATAGTCAAAAAAGGGAAAGAAAACGAAGCACAAGATAATACTTCCCACACAGTAAGACACTCCACCTTGGGATATTTACCACAAATCCTGAACACACATTGCTGGATTTTAGACTGCATGTTATTTCTTGACAGAAAATACCTGTGTAGAGAGGTTGTGTTTACTCAGTCCACTCTCCTTGCGGTTTCTCCTGGAACCAGTCAGTTTAGAGAGGCCAAATCCACTGCTGACTCTTGAAAGTTTGGACTGTGTGGTTGGAACCAAAGCCTCTCCTCTACTGATGCATTTTTTCTCATGAGCTGAAAAACAAAGTGTTGGGAGTACTTTTTAGAAGGCTTTTTTCCCCCCTCTCCCCATTATGCTTGTTTTTTTAGATAGAATGACCTTTTCTGTTGCTTCAAAAAAGGTGCAGCTGTATTCAAATGCTTTCTGCAAATATACTAACCATCAGGGAGATACTGGAAACCTGAGCAAACATCAGCCAGGAATACACAGAAACACAGACACTGCAAAAACAAGTATTCCAGGTTTCCAAATATGTTTTCTGTACATCCAGGTAAACTTCAATTACTTCAGAACTGTGAAATCATCAAATGAGTTACATCTATGGAATCGTAATTTCTGCTGTCTAAACTCTTGTTAATTCAGTCAAGCATCAATTGATCTTCATTACATGGATGCAGAGCTAATTTGTCCTTAACATGTTGTCCACCAGAATTCCCAGATCCTTTTCCTGCAGAACTGCTTCCTATGATGAACAGATTTCCCAGCCAAGAATTAGTCATAGCATCACTGCTGCTAGAGAAGGACTGCTCAACCACTGATTTCCCATCTCATCACCAGACCAACAGTTTGCAGGCTGCACCCAGACATACACAAGAGGATCCCCCTCCCTGCCTGGCACATCGAATCCTGGGAATGGTAACAGAGGTCATCACAATCCATGGGTTCATGGGGAGGAGTCAGTGCCTCTACCACTGTAATCCACAATATGCCATTTGCTGACTCACAGAGGGCCCTGTGCACTGGAGTGTAAGAATATCCTGTTTATGATCCAGTTTCTGAAGGATTCTATGTTACACAGTGCCAGTTTATAGAGTATTTACAGCTACAAAAAAGTTCAGTCTATATTTAAACATCCAGTGCATACAGTTCATCCTGAGGAAATCCACCCTTCAGGACAGACAAATCCTCAGTCAGGACTTACCCAAATGATTTTGCCAACACTTTAAACTCGCTTCCTCAATGAAAGGTCTGGCAACAGTTATATCCACTTGGCCACAATCATTGACAGGTAGTGTCACTTTGAAAACTTCTTCCAAGACCTGTTTTTTACTGTGGATCAGCTCTGTCCACACTCTGTTTATGGCTTTTAGAAGAAGCTGTCGACCTGTATAAGTACAAGATCACAAACCATAAGCTCTCTGTAGTGCTTGTAGAATTGGTATTTTTGCAGTAGTAAAATGAGTAATTTCTGTGATTACACTGTAGTTTCTCTTCCCCTTGCATGATGTGTGAAATGCCTTTGGCCAGAGCGCCTTTTTTTGCCATTATGTATGCTATCAGAAAGTCTAACAATTAATTTTGGCAGTTTTCTCTCTGTGAATTTGAAACACTGGCTCTGATTAGTTGTGAATCATCTCCTACACCCATCTATTAACAAAATGAGATTGAAAAAACCTAATAGGAGTCTGTGTCTATAAATATATATATAATTCTATAATACATTATGCTTCAGGATTTTTACATATGTGTGCCTAAGTACCTGTGTCAATACTAAATACACACATTTAAGAATCACTGAATACTTTCCTCCATAGCTAGTTCATAAATTTCCTTTGAGTGAAAGATTGTAAGCATGCCACAAAATAGTAATTGTATCATTTATACCATATATTTCTTATCTTAAAATGAGACACTTCTATTGCATTTAAAAGAGTGCATATAAAACTGTATTTCTAATTCTGGCGCATGTCCAGAAATCAATGAAGAGCTCTTACTATTTTAACAAAACATTAATTTATCCTCAATCTGTCTATCTTGGTATTTCCAAGAGTATTTTCATATATTTTTAACATATTTTTATACACACACAGCCCCGACACCCCTCCAGAGGGTAACTGAGTAACACACATATACCACAAGATCCTGCCCCAAGTCACTGGGGTAAAAGATTAGTGATGACAATACAGAAGTGGCAATATGAGACATCTGTGGCTTTGTCAACCTCAGATTACCTTCACTGACATCTTGATTGTAGACTCCATCTGGTTCTATATCAGAGGGGATCATAATGTGCCAAGTTGTCATCCTGGCTTCTGCTTCCAATCCAAACCCATCAACATTGCTACAAACACACAATGGATTAACAACCATCAGAATAAAAGGACACAAAAACTCAAGCCAAGATAAAGCAGTTGACTTTGTATCAGATTCAGAAAGATTAATATACACTACTACAACAAAGCATCTTCACTTCTGTCCATTTGAGTTCTGACAATTTGTAGTCACAAGCTGAACTGAAGGTTTATGAAGAGATGATGTGCCACGGATACTTATGTCACTAGCAGAAGATGGTGATATTTGAAGAAACACAAAACAGAGGAGCCAGAAATGGAGAACACTGGGGTTTGATGACTGTTACTAAGTACTTTGGATCCACAAGCTGTGGATCTTCTTGGAAAGAACAAATGAAAATGCCAGGCTGGCATTTGCAGCAATGCAAGTAGGTGTCTACAGCACTTGTCACAGACACCTGATTTAATGCATGACTTGGCCTTATTCAATGCTATACAGAAGAAATACCAAGATATTGAATTTGTATTATATGATTCAACAGAAAGTAAATCCAGTGATAGAATCCTCTGACTACTAATTACCTAGCACCAGTTTTTCCTTTCATCTTTAAAACATTTTGATTTATAAAAGGTTAATTACAAAATAGTTGATAAACACATTTGTCAGTATTTAAAGTACCTCTGCGAAAGGAGGTAAAAATGTTCCAGGATCTTCAAACCTAATTTTGTCTCAAAATGAATTTCTTAAGCTTGCTTGCAACTCACTGGCCTGAGATATTTACCTTCCCACATGCAGATTAATCAAGCAGTGAGCTAGGCAGCTGATGAACTCCTGATCATGATTTCCAGGTCCCAAAATTAAGTTCCTGTTCACAGTAAGGACCCTTAGGGAATCAAGGAGAGCCACTTGCTGAGGAACAGTTTTGTGCGCTCTTGAGAACTGATACAGGATGGTTCTGTTCAGGCAGTGATAAATGGCATCCAGCGAGAGTCCCTGAGATCTTCTTTTTGACTGACAGGAGTAAAAAAAAACATGATCAGAAGCAGCAGCAATTCATTTTGCTGACACACAATCTTCCCTTGAATTGACCCAAGTTCATTTTCCAAAATTGGCATTTTACTGTAAGTGTCAATTCCATTAATTTCAAGGACTGAAATGACATTAATGATTAAACACTTTGAATTTTAACATCTATAAAGATGCTGCTGATTTCTAACAGCAAGTCTTCTAACAATTTCCAATAAAAGCGTGTGATGAAGGTTCCCAAAAATATCAAGGTAAATTTAGGGAGCTTATCAAAATTCATGTGAGGCATATTTTATTGTTTATTCTGGGGGGATTTCTAAAAAATAATGTGATCTGAAAGATCAATTGCTCTTCACAGAAAGATGTGCTAAGAAAGCTCAGTAAAGAGAGAGTGAGCCTGAGAAAGAAAAGCATAATTCTGTGCTGACCCAAACATGTATCACTAGCAGATTGTTTAGTGACATCACTCCATGCATTTCCACATAATCTGCAAAAATTTTCAGGCAGGCTAGTATAACAGCCCTGTTACCTGTGCAATGAGCTGGATTATGAAGTCCACAAGAAGCTTGGATTCTTTGTTGAACATGCCCTGCCAAAGCTTATCTACCACACGCTGTGTAAAATAAAACACATTGTTCACCAGCACTTGGTAGCTTCCTCCACTTGTTATAGGCAGAGATGCATCTTCACCTAGGCAATAAAAACCCCAAAGTTTTCTACATTTATTGAATAACCCCATCTGCATAAATACATTCACATTAGTTTACGCTTTCTAGACTTGCATAAAAGAGAAAGAGATTCAGTCAATGAAAGCTAAAACCTCATGGCTTCTGTACTAGAAGACTTTCCCTTCAATATAAGCAACCACGGCTCCGGACTTTAAAAAATCTATTCTGCATTTTAAAAACATGATTCCGGATTTATTTTATGAATGCACTGCACCCACAGGCAGACAAATTACTCTTGTGGCAAGAAATGGGGTGCCTTACAAGGAAGTTTGAACAGAAATGCATACAGCCCCTGATGACACCTGGGATGGAGGTAGAGCAGCCCAAGAGCTCCTGGGAAGTCCAGCACGCCACCATGAAATGTGACTGGGCCCCCCTAAGCCATGTAGTTTTGTGAATAACCTATTTTACAGCTTTGGCACAATCAAGGTAGGGAGGGAACATGCAAGCACATCAACACGATTTACACATCAAAGGAAAGGAAAGGGCAGGGGAAAAAATTAAGATGATCAAGTTGTAACAAGCAACACAAAAAAAAAAAAAAGTCACAGAATCAAAACAGTGTCCAAATCAATTGACTGATTATTAAACTTTGCTACATTACCCAATAAAACATCAGCTGCGAGTAGGTGGTCCATCACTCCATCCAAAACATATGTCTGAAACTCCTTCTGCTGAGTTCGTGTTGATCTTTCAGGAGAAGCCTAAAAAAGATATTAAAATAATTTAAGATAATGAATATCTATGAGCAAAAAATAGGGAGAGGGAGTGTGTTCTATATTATTTCCTTTTCCCTCAGCTCCCATGAACTGAAGTGTTTTTTTCTTTTAACATTCTGCCTCAAGTAAAAAGCTTTTGCTTGATCAAAAAATCTAAGCATGCACATCAAGTAGACATTGGCTGCATGCAGTCTTGTGGAGTAGGCATTATTCCTTTTTTAAATCCAGGAAATTTATCTTCTGCCATAACAGGTACTGGAAAAGAGCACATTCTGAAAAGATGCATGAAACTCTCCATTATAAATGTATGTTCAACCTGTGATTTCCTTAGTTGACACAAGTCACCTCCTTCAGTAAACAAGGAGCAAATGGGACAGATATAATGGTTTTTTGCAGAAAGAGAAGTAACAGTAAGTTTAGCAGTGTGTACCTACCCAATCCTATTTATGTTAATGGGTGAATAAAGCTGACAAGTGATAACAAGTTAGAAGAGCTGTGAAGAAGAACTGCAGCCACTTGAACATGATCTCAAATATGCCTCCCAGTGTCTGTGGATAAGTAACATGTTCTGACATTTTGTTTTTGCTTTGTGACAGCGAAGAGGTGTTAGGAAATATACAAGCATGGCCCAAAATTTCTGCAGCTTTCAGAAAAAATCAGGGAGACTCAGGAACACATAAGATGAGGTAACTAACAGGTAGATCAAGGTGAATGAGAAGTGATGTGAACATTTCAAAATGTACTGCTAAAGGTGTAGGCTGTTAAATAGTAACTGAACTCCTCACCTCCTTGCCTCACCATCAGTAGGACAATGCTTTCTTCAAGTGTCATGAACTTCAGAAATTGATTTACAGCAAAATAACACAGTTATTTTGTGAGGTTTTATAGTATATGGCCTCATATGTCTTTTTATCTAACTGACACCATCTATGGCACAATGTCTTTTTATCTAACACAAGCAAAACAGAAACCCGAATTTCTGCAGGGGTTTTATATTTTCAACAAAGTCAATACAGATGTCACAGTTGGAAAAGTGTTTAACCACTGAATCATACTCCACAAAATAAAACTTGAGGAAAGCTTCTTATGCTGGTTTTCCAAGCCATTAAGGAAAGGTAAACAAGCTACTCTTTATGAAACATTAGTGTTTCTTTTTTTTTCCACTCTTATTTCATAACGATTCCACTGAATGTCAGGTCATCATTAGCCTAACTTTGTAATGTAATAGAACAAAAAACATTTTAGGAAAATAAGGTGTCACAACTAAGCTCAAACAACAAAATCATAACAAACTACAAAGAAACTCTACCTCTAGCAGAAGGTCTACCAGTGGAGTCTGTTTGCTGGCTGGTGTGAGACACAGGTTATCAATGATCATCACACGCATGAAGTCAAACACGAACTTCTTGGCAGGGTGGTTGGTCAGGTAGGTCTTGGTGCCCACGTTGCAGTATTCTGACTGGCTTCTGTTCATGCCAGAATCAGCTGCAAAGGCTTTAAACTCTTCAGCTGGGGACCCAGCCTCATCATCGAGATCAGTGACCTGTAAAAACCAGTGTGTTAAAACTGTAGAGATCAGACTTAATGGCAGTTTATTCACTTCTCTATTCTTTGCTTGTCTTTCTAATGGTATTTCACTTCACATTTTGCTTCTTAAGAAGCCTTTTAGAAAATTATGATTCAGAATCAGTTCCCCAGTATGAAAACATCCAGTTTTGGATTCCCAAGGCAAATGATGATCTGGCATGAGTTACGTTTCATGCTCCCTGACCAACAGAATTGGGTGATTTCTAGATACTTGGCAAAAATAAGTGTTGTAATTGAAAAAAAAAAAAAAAAAAAAAAGAAAAAGAAAAAGACATTTTTTGAAAAAGTTATTAACTAAAGCAATTAAAATAAAATCAAGACAGAAGCCAACTAAAAAAGGCCATCAAGCTTACATAACATAAAACAAAAAAGGAACTGAGCCTTTTTCTTTTTTCTTTTAATACAATACCTTCATCAGAGTGCAGTTATGGGTAAGCCGGTTTCCCAAAAATCTCTAAAAGAAGAAGAAAAAAAAAAGGGTCTCCACAGCTTTCCCATTTCTGATGAACAAAAAGCTTGAAAGGCTAGCTCTTTAAAGAGGACTGTAACAAAAGCACAAACAGTAATGAAAGCTGTCAAATCCAGAAGACTGATTCTTTCTATGCAACTCCCTTCATTAAAGTAAAGAGAAGACAATATGATTTCCCTCAGCAGGCTTCTTGCATTGCCAGCTTACATGTCAAGTAACCAAATGTTTTGAGCATTTGGTCTGCTTTAGCAGGAGAGTGTTTTCAAGAAATTAAGAGAAACCCAAATACATATTCTTTCTATTTCAACAGCAATCTCAGAAAAGCTGAAAGACCTTTAAAAAGTTAAGAATCTTTTCTCAAGCCTGAATTTAGACTAATGTTTTGTTGCAGAAATCTGGCTGTGATTCAGCTAACTGACTAGTGCTACACATCTGGGCAAACAGAAACACTGGAGGAGTAAACCAATTTGGAGTAAGGAGCACCCTGAAACAGTAAAGAGCTCAAGTTGCCAGGCAGCTACACAGAATTTCATAGGTTCTAGTAGTTAAAGCCTGCTTAGAGACACAAGGCTCCTCTAAAAACCCTGTACAAGTGAATGCCAAATCAGCATTACCCGTTTGTAAATGGAACATTTTTTTGAGAGCAAACTCCTAAAATCTACTTTAAATGCAAGTTTAACAAAATAGCAAAAAACCCCACGTCTTTATGAGAGACTCGCCAGCAGGCACTGTTAAAAATTGGTCTCCCACTTCTACTGACAACAAAACAATAGCACACCACAAGTTATTATTTCCTGAAGTTTTTTATCATACTGTCCATAGTTCTAGCATTTGGCAATCTCTAGAGTAATTATCCTTCCATGTTCTCAATAAAATTACTTTTAGATGTTGGCTAACTATATCTGGTTTTTGCTTTCTATTCATACTCTAGAAATAGTATCATTTGCAAATGACACTAGAAAGAAAGAAAACTACAGCCAGCAATGCAAGCAAAGTTGAATTCACATCCTCTCTTGGCTTGACCTCAGTAGCTTCAGGAAATACAAGAACACTGTTTTGTGGTTAAGCCACAAAAACAGAAATACGAATATGAATGGGAAGCGTGAGGAAAAAGAGGTTTTAGGTTTCATCACATCCTCCATAGCAGAGGGCTGACAGGCTCTTTTGTTTGTGTAACTTGAGCTATCATTTGTCATACAATTGAAAATAATGTCCACTCAAAAACAAGCAAACTGCCTATTGCCCCTAAAATGCTGCTTCTGATGTCCCTGCACAACAACTGCCCTGCAGTTTAACATACTCTTCTCTCAGTTCCACAATCCAAGTACAAAACATCCAGCTCCTGGATGATGGCCTCTTGTGCAGTCCTGATGATGACCTCTTGGTATGACTGGTAATTGGTAAATCCTCAAAAGTAACACTCATGTGAAAAATTGAACAAGCAAGCAGCTGGATTTCCTACCATCTCAGAGTATGGTCGGATGTTGAAAGGAAACACTGTTGCTGCCAGCGCACACAGGAACTCTGGACTCATCCACAAGGAAATGAGGTCTGGTACATTGTGATATAAATACCGAAAGAACTGCATCAGGGTGACTGGGTATTCCCGAAGCCAAGAGCCTTCTTCCTCTGACTGCCAGGGCTGGGTTGAGAAACAAACACCAGATTAGCACAGACAGCACCAATTGAACACTTATTTCAGAAAGGAAGAGCACGCTTTCAAGCACCCCTCAAATAGGAGACCAACTGCATTTTATAGCACATCATTGACTGTAAGCTAAAATGTGTGTCCTATCATGTAATGACTCAGAAATATTGGCAAACATGACCAGACTGAAACCAACCCAAAATGTGATGGCACAGTTGAACACGCCTGGTGACAGCACACAAGACATAGCACCTGTTTCTAAGCATGTCTGAAGTGCATCCAAATAGGTGAGGACCAAATACAATGATCGGTCACCAGCAGAGAGACAGAACATGTGACAACAGGAGTGGGGACTGCAACAGGTACGCTTGTCCAGAAGATGCTTCTGGACATGTTACCTTGGAAGAAACATGCAAACAGTAGAGCATATCACATACACATGATGATCCAACAGGTGACAACCAAACAGGTGCTGCTTTTCAAGCACTTCAGGAGGCAATTTTCAGCAGATAACACGTTCTGGCTTCAAGGAAATACATAATTTTCCCACTGAGAAACCAACTTTCCCTACTCTTGACATTAGATTCAAAGATGAGAAGATGACACACTTCTCTGGCAGTAAATTAATTTCCTCTGGCATGTGGCTATTCATAGTCAGGGACTTCTCTGCATGGAGAAGGTTCATGAATGAAATTTGCAACTCGCATTGCTCTGAGAAGATGGGATACAGAGTCTCAAACACTCTCCCATGATGTTAATCGGGATAAGAAATTGAATTATCTCTGCCAAGGATATTCTATCCTTCTGCTTTCTTGTTTTGTTTTAACTGCAGCTAAACAGAAACCCCAGCCTTTTTGTGGAAAAGCAGTGATAACTTTGTGGCTACTAATATTTCTACAGATACTGGGGGAAAAGTAACATAGAAAAACCCCAAGAAAATTACACTTTCCTGTTACAGAATTTCTGAGCGAGAGAGGGCATGATTTATGTCTGGAGTGAGAATTGAGCTACCCACTCAGACTAGGCTCCTGATAAGCAGCCTTGATGGGGCCTAGAAGCCTTTGATGCACTAGGAATTCAGTTGTGGCGCAGTTAGAAATTATGTTAAGGTAACTACAAAGTAACGAGCTATTTGAGTGTGAATTAGAGTAGAGCTGCAGTGTGAAAAGCCTGACCACCTTAAGGCAAAGGTAAACAATGTTAGCTTGCCAGTCAGAGTGCCTTTGTAAACTGTAAACTATATGGAAGTGTATAAAAACTGCCATCTTCTCACTAATAAAGGGGAGAACATTGCATTAATCATATTGGTTGGATGTGCATTCTGTCCTGTCCAGCTTTCCCGTTTTATGAGGTCCCTGGCTTTGCTTTCCACCCAAGTATTATGAGACTAACTGACTGCCAATTTTGTCATGATACTAATAAAACCTCGACCTTTCTAATTTGGCTTTTAACTACATGGAAAACTTGAACAACATGGTTGTTCTGAAATACAAGCAAAATTTCTGATGCTTACAGAATTCAGCATGCTCCTCAGCATTCCCAGTAACAAGAAGGCCGCTTCTGTGCAAACACTGTGAATTGAGGAGGTAACAGTGCCACAGGAGGCAGGAACTCCAAATATGAATGTCCAAATGGAATCTAAATCAAACTGCAAGAGGCCAAAGAGAAGACATGAAATAATCCCTTTCTCCTGTGCAATTGTATATTGCCATTTATTATAATATACTCATTTTGCAGTAGATAAAAAATTAGTTGTTTTACATTCTCCAAACTTTATCACCAAATGTCATTTGAAGGTCACATGTCACTGAAGAAAGTTTCTTTTAACCATGAGCTAATGACACTGCAACTCTCATCTTCTTACTTTCTTCTCACGTCTCATAAAGTATGTAATTGTTTTGAAACAAAAGAATTGTCAGCACATGTGCCACACAATCATCTTAATTGACTCACATCTAGCAGAAAAACCCACATGGTCACATGGTATCCCACAGAAAAAAAAAAAAAAAAAGAACAACACAAATCAAGTTGTATTTTCCAGCCAGTCTAAATAATTAAATCAATTAAAAATAAAAAGGGACCAATTGTCCACCTCTAGCATTAAGAGAGCTACTAAGTAGTTGAATTTAGTTTCAGTTTAACACTGTCATACTTCAATGCTTCAGTAGGCACAGGAGTGAGTTTCATGCCTCTACTTCATGGTAACAGAGTCCTGAATATGCTGTCAAGTATTCCTCTTGAGAAAGAAGGCAGGCACCTTCTGGTTTGAAAATTTTACTTTCCAGATCTCACTGATAAATAATGTCAGCACTGCACCCATTCTAAATAGGCACCCTGTCTATCTGGAGTGTGTGTGGCTTTTCTTCATAAAGCACCTACCCTGGGGTTTCCTAGGACTGTTATAGGTCATATAATATCTATTCATTTACTTCAAAAAATCCCCAAATAACCTGTTCAGTATTAAGTACAACCATCATTTTTCAGCAACAACTGAGTTGTCTGCCTATAAAACCACAGAGACTTTCTGAAATAAAAGCAACCTTGTTTTGCCTGTAACCCATGAACTCTCTTTACAACAACTGCCCATTCCTTAAATGAAAAACCACAAAAACCCACCTCACAACCAAAGAAAGCAAGCAAAAGATTATGTTCCCTTCAATGCCCACTGCATGCCAGCTTGAACCAGGGATCTACTTCTTCTTTGACCCCAAAATGGACTAGAGTGACACCAGTGACTGCTAAGCCATAGCAGTCTGGCTTCTACATACTACCAACCCAAAGGGCTCAGCACTAAACACCACATCATGACTGTGAGACAGATGCAGAGAAGGAAAGGGCCTGGTTAATTCATTATTTTCTTTCATGACAGACAGAATTGCATTCACATCGTACTGGATAATCCCTACCTTGGCACCCTGATTATACTGGCTGCTGATGACAGGTGCACTGACCTGCAGGTTTTCAGGCAGTTCAGTGACTGGCTGCTGCAGGAAAAGAGCCATGAGGAGAAAATAGAGTGCAGGCACATTAGTATGCTTTGGGAGAAGGGACTGCAGAACAGGGAAGCCTGGGAAGTGACAAGCATCCCGGTTAATCTCCCGCACTGTCGATCTGCCACCAGCACTCCGGCCGACATTGAACCCTATGAGAGAAAACAAGACACAAAGCCAACAACATTAAGAGGGAATTACCTGTGAGGACCCTTCTTGTTCACCTGGTGATATGAAAAGGGTACCTCCTCAGAAATTAATGCTGTACAAAACAGACGTGCACATACAGACTATCACATGATACCATTCTGCTTCAGTTGTCTCTTTTTTTTATAAACAATTAAAAAATAAAGGAAATCACTGCTTTCCAGTACCACATAGATGACACTGTTCCATACAGAGTGCATAATATAACTGCTTAAACAAACATACACATCCATTTTCTGGTTGTGACCATAATTTCTGACTTTTAAACACACAGGTTTCTGAAAATAGGTATTTTGCTGGCTGAGAGTGAAATATCACCTGTTACAGATTTAAATAATGAAGCAGCAACCCATGGTCCATTTAAGTCAATGGGCAGCTAATTTGTGTCCAGAGAAGTCTTAAAGGCATCTTATTTCAGATATTTTGTTAATGATTAATCACCTGGTATTAAGCATTAAACAGTCTTATTTTATTTAAGTTCTGCTAGAACCACCTTTTGTGACCATGCTTCTATCTACGTCTTAAAGAAAAAAAATCATAAATAATACACCTGGGTGGCAGAAGCCCTTCAAGCAAGGAAAGAGGCAGGAAGACAGTTCAGTTTTCACATCAGTACTGAGCTGTAGGTCTGATACTGCCAGTGGTCAGGTGGTTTTTCTGAGGCTCAAATACAGATATACTTTCCACTAGAAACTGACTTTTTAAACAGAAATCTATCAGAAATCAGACTAATGAAATCTGTGGTACACAGTTGCAGAAATTCCATCAGTAATCTTCAATAAAAATTCATCATACTGTTTAATGAGAAATCTTGGAGACAGTATGTTACGATTTCTTAAAAAATGCAGCATACAAAAATTAGATAATCTGTCACTATCAGGTTATGAGACTCAAATTTAAAAATATCTTTTTCACTACAGTCTAGCTTGGATTCAATTAAAGTGATAGTATAATAGGAAAAATAGGGAAACTTGAAAAATGGTTTCAAATGTAATTGTAAATCAAAATCTTACTTAAAAAGATTTTGTGACTGAAGAAAATGTTTATGCTATTGAATACTTTAAGTACATACTAAATAAAGAATGGGTCTATTCCCTAAAATGCCAACGGTTTTCAAGTTTTTAAAGCACAATCAGGCAAGGGAACTGCATGTGCAAAATTGTTTCTTTAATGAAATACAGAACCTTAATCAGAATGAGCCAAACAACAGAAGCTTTTTATTTTAACAATAAAATATTTGCATGTGTTTTAAAGCTTCTGAAAAACTATTTTCCTTAATCCTCCTAGTTCATGGCAATGCAAAGAACCATCCTATGCTCGTAGCTGAATATCCTGAGGGATATTGTGGAAAACAGTAAAAAGAGAGTTTTCTTTAAACAAAAATAACAAGATACTATATTTGAAATCTATCAAAGATACAAAGCAGAAATAAATACTTTTTAAAATATTTTTGTATTTTTATTTTAGGAAGATCTTTCTTCCTGAAGGAAGATCACTTCAACAATACTTCAATTACTTCTTTATAGGTAAACCAATTCAGAAAAACTTTTAGTACAGTAACAAATCACGTACTGCTGCAACACAGGTGCCTCCTTGAACAGCTATTTACAGTAACAAAGTACTATTGATACTGCTCTGATCTAAAGGCTACTGAGGCTTATGAAAGACCCTAATTTAATATCAATGAGTTTGAACCAGAGCCTGAAGAGACATTCATCTGAAAAGCACTATTTTATTTTGACTGGGAAAAAAAACAGGTTGGTGAGAAATTGCTACTACACCTCTCTATAAAGAACTGACATGTTATTTCAAACATTTGGAGATACATTTCAGACAGCTCAGAGATGCTCAAAATGGGTCCTGTAGCACTAAAGTCTTATACACAGTTCTAGATCACAAGGGGTAACTGAGAGGTCTGATAACCTGTCTAACTGAGGATTTAAGAACCTGAAAAAAAAGCCTTTAATAGAAAGTGTGCTTGTGTACACAAGAAATGCAGGAGAGGGAAAGGAAAAGGAATGCTGAGATGATACTGTGAACACAGAAATTTTCAAGACAGCAAAAATTCAAACTGGTAAATCTGATGGACACAGCACTCACTAGTCAAAGCAGCTCAGATATAACACTGTGCAATTAACTATTTAAAGTAAACAAGCAAACAAATTTTACTGAATCTTTTATCAGTGTGTGCATTAAGTGCTGCTCTATGCTTCCTTAGCACGTAGCTCAGCCATGTCTGCCCCTGGGACACACTTAACCTTACCCTGATGTTAAGAGAAAAAAAACCAATTAGCTACATATGCACCAAAATGGACTACAATGACATCTATGTCATGTCAGCTAAGGGCAGCTTTGTAAAACCACTCCCTTTTGCCTAGGAAATCTTAAAACTTGCTTGTAAGAAGGATGAAGTGCAGAAGCATCTGATGGCAGCACAGACAGGAGTAACAGAAAGGCCTCAGCTAGCCAGCACCCCCACAATAACCCACAGCTCAAAACCCCAGCACAGGTGCTCCCAGCAATCCCTGAGATGCCTACCTAACACAGTACCAATCTTATTGGTCAGGACAGAATCCGTCTGATCCAGCCAGCCTCCGCCACTGAGACCCTCCTTAAACTTCATAAGGATGGACTGATTACTCAACAGGACCACGAGAATTCGCATGGCTGCTGTGACTGTGGTGGAATGAAGATGTTCTTCCATAAACATCATAATCCAATCGAAACCCAGTGTCTTGACCAGCTCTTCACAAGCCCTAAGCGAATGGAAAAAACAAGTCACATTTTACAGAATTTAGTTTCCAACTAGACAGCAAAAATCAATGTCCTCCACTGCAGGGCAAACCTCAGGAGCAAATTCGTAGTTAAGTCTGCTACAAACAAGTAATATCACTTACCAACTCCTTATATGAAACAGGTAATGTGTGTTTGTTTAGAAGAAAGGAAGGACTAAATACAGTTCCTGGGACTAATTCCATTGCATGAGATTTCTCCAATTGCTGCTTTTGATAACAAATACGGAATTCTGAACTGAAATCATCTTGTTGAACAAGAAGTTTTCACACGTCTTCTTAATGAACAGGTATTAAAAAATGAAGGAAGTTTGTTTCTTTCTTTGTTTTCATTACAGGAGGAGTTACTTGGGAACATTTGAAAGTGTTTTTTGTAATTTTAAGGGTCATTCTAGGGTCAATGATTGTAATGATAACACTGTACTGAAGCCTCTGAATCTCAACCAAAGGAGAAATTGACTATCCCACTTCTCTAAAATGAAAAGTTTTCTCTTTGACAGTTTTATTTTTCTATAGCCACACATGAAATTGAGAGAAAACAACAAAATTAATAAAGCTTCCAACTTCTACTAACATATCTCAGAGTAATTCAGCGACATCTGTATAAATCATTCAACATTTCCTATAAAACAATGCAATTCAACTAGTGATTTGAAGGGAGGCTGTATAATTCTTCCCCTTGAAATAAAATGTGATATCCTTTCTCTGCCTCAATGATTTTTTTGTACTTACTGCAAATTAACAGTTGTCTTTTCTTTAGATGTATATAGAAGTTTCAGAAGGATATCTAAAAGCCTGTTCCGCAGTAGAATAAGATTAGCTGAAACAAGTCCTCCAAAATCATCCTCTGTTCCTAATATTGAATAAAACCAAACAAAAAAAGGCAAAATTAGGATTTTGGAACTTGGGCATTTCAAAGGCTATTCATAAATTCCATACATAAGCAAATACAAACTGACCCGCCAATCAGGCTCCAAGGAAGCTGTGCTAAAGTACAAGCATCCTGTAATACAGTGCTGAGAAATGTCTGGTGCCTCCTTATCACTGTCCTACAGACTTTGGGAGCTTGAAGAACAGGTAAAAGAGAACCATAGCTTCTCAGACAGTAAACTGAACTGAGGTGGTTACTATCTGTCACCCTTCCCTCCCATCTCTCCTTCTCTCAAAACTGCAAAACATGTAATTAAATAAACATTTTGCATTTTGAAAGCAGAGTGGTTGGGGGGAATGTGGAAATTGTAAGGAATTGACTCTGATACTTCCCAAATCCCTCCAAATCTAAGAAATAGAGAGAAAAATTAGTCTCCTTTTCTTCAACACATCCCCAAGCATATCATCAGTTGAAAAATACATTTACTGCAACCAAAGCAATCTATGCAGCTCAGGACTAATTTTACAGCTATTTTGCAAATCCCTCTTGCTGTAGCTTATGCTGTCAAAGGAAGACCCTGCTTTTATGTTATTGAAAAAAAAAAAAAAAAAAAAAAAAAAAAAAAAAAAAAAAAAAAAAAAAAAAAAAAAAAAAAAAAAAAAAAAAAAAAAAAAAAAAGGCAGCCCAGCTTGAGGCATTATATGCAAAAATGAAGACAGACAGATAAATGGAAAATTTCTGGACCAAGGTACAGACACAAGAAAATTTCTGCACAAGATACAGACACAAAGGATCCTCTGTGGCATAAATCCAACAGAAGTAGTGAACTCCAGTAACCTAAAAATATCATACCATTTGCCTCAAAAGCTTCTCTTTTCATTTCTGCCACACCCTGAATTTCTCCCCAAGGTTCTTCAGTCCCCTGTGTAGGCAAAAAACAGCTTGGGCTGCTCTTAGCGCGGAGGAAAAAAACCCAAACGAAACTCATGACCTGTAGTGGGAACACCAATCTGGATCTCCCTACAATACCCAATACTCTTTTTCACTAAAAAGCTCAAATTTAATAATCTTTGCCACAAAACCAAAACTATTCAAAGAAACAAGTGAGGCACAGGAAGATAATGAATCCCACCAGACCGTGGAATGGTTTGGGTTGGAAGGAACCTTAAAGATCAGAGAGGTTCCGACCCCCCTGCCATGGACAGGGGACACGTCCACTGGACTTCCTGTGTTTGCTCACAGCATCATCCAAACTGGCCTTGAACACATCCAGGGATGGCACCCACACCTCTTCTGAGCAACCTGTTCCAATGCTTCACCACCCCCTCATCACAGTAAGGCATTTCTTTTGTATATCCAATCTTAAACAACTCTCTTTCAGTTTGAAGCCATTCTCCCTCATCCTATCATTACATGCCCTCGTGAAAAGTCCCTCTCCAGAATGTGCAGACTGCCCAAATCATGTTTTTTGTGACACCAGACCAATATAACTAACTGTAAATAAAGAAACATCTTTCACTTGTCCCTCTGCACCAGTATATTCCCAAGAGACGTAGAAACAGAGGTTCTTTGGAGAATCCTTCTATTTATTTAGCTGACATCTACTGGGAATAAAACATTTCTGTTCAGGGAGACTGATTGAAAATGCAATTGCACAAGGTATATAAGGGTAAAAATGGTCTCAAAACAGTTCAATGTAAGAATTATTGAAGGATGGTAACATTTATTTTTTTGCCTAAAGAAAGTTAGTAGGCTGTCTTAGCTAATTCTTTCACTTCTTTCACACCTGGAGGGCTGATGCACCTAGCAACCAGTTGTTTGGGTTTTTTTTTCCCTTCTTTTCCCACAAAGAAGCAGAGATGCACAGCTGATTGGAAGGAGCAAGTGGAGGAAAGAGAACAAAACCATACAGTGATAAATGAAGGAAACAATAAAAAAAGTGGTTTGCTCTGCTTTGTACTCAATACTGAAAACTAAAACCCCACTAACTGGCAGCCAGGTTATAACAGTATTACAACATTGCTAGTGACACTATTTCTACATATTTTTGTATTCAAGCACAGAAGAAACCACAATGTATTTTATTCTACTGCTTCTAAGTACTGTCAACACTTACCACTATCTAGCTTTTCTTCATTGTTTCTTTCCATGACCACAAACTTCTCACAGACTGCAAATGTAGGTAAAGTGGAAGAGATGAACTGTCCAAACCTTGATGTATACAGAAAAAACATCACTCATTGACATGACAGACGCACTCTCACCTATCACTAATTCACCTTAAATGTAAAACCATGACACCAGAGACAGGGAGATACCCAAAAATGTCAGCTTTCTCACATCTGAAGATTGTTGAAAATGGTTGTCATTTAAAGTTACCAGCCAAATCACAAATTAATTTGTAGTAATTAATAGAATACTTGCAGACAAGTCTGCAGGTAAGGGACCCTGAAAATGCTATGATTCAGTAAACTGAACTGGGAGATACTATTGAATCCTAGTAAAAGGAACACCTCAAGTTAAAAGAGAACAAAACATTATTCTCAACACCTTACAGCTGAACAATTATTACATCAAAACAGTGGTTACTCAACTCTGGAAGAACATCTATGCCTATAGCTTGAGGTTATGTGACACAGGGTAATGGTTTTCCATTACAAGACGTTGATGTACCGCTCCAAGAAAAGAGATGCAATATACCTCTTTACTCTGCAATTAACCTGAAATGGCTCCTAGCTAGTGCAACTTTTCCCAAGTTATGCGACATTTTTCATTCTTTGTTTCTGGGAAGGAGAACAGTGAACACTGGTTTACAATCTAGTCTGTAACCAATTAAGCATAAAATCAGTAGTTTTATTCTTGAATAATTTTTTGTCCTGTATAGTTAAAACAAAGACAGGTAAGATGCTCAGGTTGAAGCTTCTGATACCTTTAATTGTACTTAAAAGTAAGGAGCTGAAAACATGACCATGCATATGCAAAGAGAGATGAAAAAATCAAGTTATCAAGGAGTTAAACTATTCTTAAAGCATTTAAAATACTCCTGTACATATGAATTGCAGTAAATAGTGTAATTTTCATCAGTCAGAATTAGTAGTACTATATCTGACAGCCTTAAATACCTTTTTATACAGTGATGATTAAGAAAAAATCTGGAACTAAACCTTGTATTCAAGATAGTAATCAAAACTGCATTTTAACCAGAAATATCTTTTTAGCCTGTGTCAAATAATATTCAGTGATATTCAGTAGGAATGCTTAGTGCTTTACATGAACAAAAGGGGCTGCTCAGCACCTTTACTTTTCCCTGGTAGAACATTAAACTAGTTTGACCATTCAACTATGCTTGGTCAGATACAAACTGAAAAACTTATGTAAATCAAGGCTTCAACATATTGCTAATGTCTAGTTCAATCTAGTTCATAGAGGCAAAAAACAATCAGTCCATGAGCATTCCATATCACACACTCCTCAGCAGTATGACCATGAAGTACTTTTGACTAAGATAACAGAACCCAGAAAGACAAAATTATCCAGGGGTGGGCTACCTGAGTAGGTCATAGCTGCTGGGGAAGCCCTGAAGTAGAAAGCTCAGCACATTGCTAATTGCAGCAATAGTGGGCTGAGACAGGGACATGTCTCGAAGAGTCAACAGCAGTCTTGGGATGAGCTGGAATTCCCTCATTAACTTGGCATTCTTTGCTGCTTCACTAGAAGAAGAAAAGAAATGAGACAGCCATTTAGAATTGCAGTATCCTCTAATTATCACCTAATCCTGTAAATCCTATTACTAGGCTTGAATCAGTTTGTACCTTGACTCAGTGAGGAGTTCAATGAAGTGCTCAAATAATGACAGATGAAGCTCATAGGGTGCATGAAGCCAGACCTGAAATAAGAAAAATCAGTACTTTTTGTACACAAGTCGACTTGTGGGTTAAAAACAAGCATTAATAAATCAAAAGTTAAGAAGATACTACAATCATTCATATATATGACTGTTTACCTCGGCATGAAGAACTACACATTGGTTCCAAAAATATTCTCTGTAAGAGTACCATGCTGAAAACTTATAAAGGGATGTAGACAAAAGGTCACACACTCTTGTCTTTTTGCACCACCTTTAAACAGACAGTGTAATGACTCCAAAGGAGTTATTGGGGTTTACAAGGCTGTGTTAAATTTATTTTGTTTAGGTGAATGATTATGTCTTCATAAAATTAGCTTACAACCTTCCACCAAGATTAAATTCAAGGTCTTCCCTGCTTTTATTTTTTATCTAGCACCACCTGCACTTAAATTATTTAGATTCTCTACTAAAACCCCCAAAATATCAATTGTTCAATCAATAGAAGTAATACAAGACAAAAAAATCAGAAAGCTCACAGTTACAGCTGCAAATCTTAAAACTAATTTGCTATTGAACAAAGCGTAATTAATACTTGTTCTCTGGTGTATAAAAGTGGCTTAAATGAAAAGCTTTCTAGCTTTTGCTTTTCTTCTGATCTTATAATTTTAAATGATGAGAACAAAACTTTTATTTCTCTGTTCTGCATGAGTAAGAACATATAATTTATCTAAATTAAGTGGAATTTTGGGTCACTGATTTCTGAATAAAGTAATTAAAACAACAATCAAAAAACTGAAAAAATAGCCAAAATCTCAGACTTTCTTCCTAAATAAGGTTTCCAGGAATGCTTTGAAATAATCAAATAGACATCTAAAAAAGGAAATGGTTAAGTCTGTTAAGTCATTTGTGCAAAACTGACTTGCAATATTAAGTCAGCAACTTATAGCTGGCTTAGCAGTGGTAGCAGGGTTTTTACTTTAATGTATATGAGTCAGAATTCTTTTAGTCAGTCTATGTCAGGTACAGATAATGCCAAAGGAGTACACATCAAAGGGTAAGTTCTGGGAATCTTTTATCAGTCTCTACTGCATTAGCATTTCCCTCTGAAATTTGTTACTTTCCTTACTTTAACACAACATTTAAGTATTTCATAAGTCATGCAAACAAAATTTTGACTCCCGTACTAATAACCTTGCAGGAGATGTATGATAAAGTGATTTCCATATGCTATGTTGAAAGTTTACCTCCTACTTTTATTTTCAGGGCACTTTTCATGCCCTGATATATGTACTGCAGTAGAACACACAGGTGAAAAGAAATTGAGGAACAAAAAACTACAGAATGTTGTCTTCTAAAACAACAAAAAGCAGAAACATTTGTAGCACCCATCCATTGTTTGTGCAGTGATTCAAGCCATTTCAGTGGGAAAACTTACCAATAATCTTGCTGCTCAGCTGCTTTACTGTACTATATAAGAAACAGGACATTCTCAGGATAACAGCCTAATTTGCTACAGTTGAATATTTAAGGTACACTATCAGCATCTGACTTAATCACTATCCAGCATAATAATCACTCTTCTGTGCAGCTCTACATACTTCAAAATCACATAGCAGGTCCTGGAAGGCAGCAGAATTTGGGATAATGGATGTCTCGTGGCCGCTGTCAACAGTTCCCACCAAGGAAAAGGTCAGGTGGAGTATGTGGCTGTTCAGCAGGGACCGTTTCTTCTTTAACAGCATTGCCAGCAGCTTGAACAAGCAAACAGAAAAGGAATTAGTCCTGTGAGCACACAGCAATATTGTCTAAGCATGCAGGAGTACAGACTAAATGCCTGTGCCCCTTTTGAGAAGGCCTTAAAGTATGTCTGCTGTTTAATACTCTTGATGAAAGAGTTCGAAAGTGGCATTACAGTTCATTACAAAAGTGGCTTTTTCAGGACGCTCTCCAGCTCCTAACACATCTGTTTACACCACAGACAGGATCTAGGCCTGAGGATTAGGGACACACACACTGCTCTCAGCTCTTTGGCAGTCAGTTTAAGATAGCTTATGCTCAAGCAGCTGGGTTCTTGGACATGGCAGACAAATAGAACAGGCCTAGAGCACTGCATGCCCAAATGCAAGGTACTCTGGCACTGAAAAAAAGTAACATAAATATGAATAAGCCTCTTTTTTTTCTTGCTACACTTTGTTTCCCTAGGCATGACTGCAGTCCCCGCTTCTGCTCTAATTTCTTGTAATCTGGGTTGGGAAAGAATCATTTGCCAGACTTAATGTTATAGTCTCTTTTGTTCTGAAGCAAACTTGTTTAAACACTCAACATCCTGGCCTGTTCAGCTTTACCATCCTCACTGAAACACTAAAGAAACACAGATTTCTGGGAATCTCCCTCAAACCACATTATTTGCTGATGTCAATACAAGTGGAATGTAAGGCCATTTGTGATGATCCACTGACTACTCATGGTGCAAGAAGGACACTGTCTAGACTTGTTTGGTCACAGTAAGCCAAGGTCTGCACCAGGCTCCTTGGAAAGATATGTTTGATGCAACTGCACCAGGCATTAGCATTTCAAAGTTTGTAAATACACAGCCCAAACGACAGAACTTTCTACTTCAGTAAAGCAGCCTCCATGAGAAACATAAAAAGCATTGCTCATGTGAAGACCTTTTCAAATCAGTCAACCAATCCTTCTGCATAAGTGACTGCCTTTTCCCCATCCCAATGGAGAATTAATGTCTTCAGCTTGAAAGGAAACAGCATCACTAACTACAAAATTCATGCAGTCTTCTTAAAAGGATGCTTCTAGGAGTTCACTTGTTTGGGTTTTTTTATGTGTCCTTATCCTGTCTCTTGGTGGTAAATCAGAGACACAAGCTCCCAGGCTTCCATGGGTGGTTTCAAAATCACAAGAAAAGACTAGACAGTTGTGCTCTTCCCTGATGGTACTAAAGGCTCAGTTTCTGCAATGCAGCTTAAATGTGCACAAGGGCTTAGCAAAAAACTTTTCACTCTCTCCTTTAAAAGACATCATAAATAATTAATCTATGCTAATTAACCAAGAGAGCAAGGAACTTTTAAAGAGAAACTCAGGTTACAGCACAACAAGAGATTTCCATGGGAACTGTCATGACAATAGTGCAATTCAATTCCATGAGCCTAGTCTGTTTTAAGACATTTCTTACATACCTGATAACCTTTGATTCTTTCCATCTCTTTGCTGGCCAGTGGATTGCTCTTTACTACACAGACCAAGGCTTTCACAGCTGCATACAGCCCTTCCACATCTGATGCCATGGCTACAAGTCCCAAAATAGCAGCAGCCCCACCAATGTACTGTAGTGTAGTGGCAACAGGTTTGGGGACAAATGTTCTTACTCCTGACCTCAGACAGAGATAATTAATTAAAATATATTCAAATTTAATTTTTGCAAGAAATAATTGTGAAAATGTGAAAGCAATTTTCATTTTAGAAGTACTTGAATTTTAAAAAGAATGTTACTAGAAGAATTATGACACCTCAGAACAGGAAGTGAAGGAAATATAGAACAATAGTTTATGACCTAAGGTAAAGTAATTTAATATATTTTCATAATAATGAATCATAAACTGAAACACGCATCTCATGTGAGCAAAAAAAAAAGATAATAGTATATGCATAAGATATAAAGATGTTCAATAAATACGACGCAACATTAACATTCATCAATCACATTATTTGTCTTCTAGACCTAAGTTCTTACTGACAAGTAATTAATAACTTCAAAGCATAATAATTCTTAAGCACTCAACTCACCCAAATACCCTATCAAAGCTGCACCAAGGGAGCGTGCTGGTCCATTCAAATGCCCTGCTGAGTTATGTAGCAGCTTCACAGGTGTGGCATTTTCATGAGAAGAAATTGCCAGCTGAAGAAAACAAGAAAAAACCAGCAGGGGTTGAAGGGAGGAGGTTATTTTTATGCAAGCCTAAAATGCATAACTTACAAATTTTCTTACTATGATCAGGAGTAACATACAATAAACCCAGATTAAGCCTTTCCTCTCAGGAGAGATGCTCCAACCCTCTGATCATCTTGGTGGTCTTCCCTAGACTTACTCCAACAGGACCATGTTTTTCTTGTGTTGGGGACCCCAGAGCTGATGCAGCACTGCAGGTGGGGTCTTGCCAGAGCAGAGGGGCAGAATCCCCTCCCACACCTGCTGTCCATAGTACTTTGAATGCAGCCCAGAACATGTTTGGCTTTCTGGGCTGTGAGTGCTCATGGCTGGGCCATGTCCAGCCTCCCTTCCACCAGCACTTCCAAGGTCTTCTCAGCAGAACTGCCCTCAATCTGTTCATCCCCAGCCTGGATTGATACCCTGACTCAGGTGCAGCACCTTGTACTTAGTGTTGTTAATCTCATGAGCTTCCAATTGGCTCACTTCTCTTGGCCCTCCTAGCCCTGGAACTCATCTAGATCTCGCTGGATGGAATCCTGGCCTGGAAGTGTTTCAATAGCACCACTCAGCTTAGTTTCATCAGTGAATGTGCTGAGGGTGCACTTGATCTCTCTCTGTTATTAATGAAGGTATTAAATAATGCTGGTCTCCACATGGACTCCTGAGGGACAGCACTTGTCACCAACTTCCATTGGGACACTGAGCTATTGACCACTACCCAGTGGATGCAACTGTCCAGACACTTTCTCATACATCTTAACACCCACCGAATCCATCTTACTCCAGTTTAGAGAGAAAGATGTTGTGGGGGACTATGTCAAAGGCTTTACAGCAGTGCAGATAAATGACATCTGTAACCCTTCCCTTGTCCACTGATGCAGTCACCCCATCACAGAAGGCCCCAAGATTGGCCATCTAGTGCCTAGAGAAGCTGTGAGTTCTCAGTTTCTGGAAGCATTGAAGGTCAGGCTGGACTGCACTTTGACCAACCTGACACAGTGGAAAATGTCCTTGCCCACAGGAAGGGGATTGGACTAGATTGTTCCTGGCTGCATTAAGCAAATTGTCTTGAAGTAAGTTAGAAGAAAGGAAGAAGTCATACACACTAGCTGACTGGTTACCCAACATACCTGTTTGGCAATAGCTTTACTATCCAACTTGTTGTAAACTTTCCTTATTTTTGCCACAGTAAATGAAGAAACTGACAGTGCATAGAGACCAAAGGAGACCTTCTCTTCTGGTACCAAAGATACTGGTGATGGATTGATTCCTTCAGACTTGGAATCTTTACCTTAAAGACAAAATAGAAGTTCCCTTCATTAATGGCGTTGTTTTTCTTTTAATTTGAACAGTAAAATCTTAAGCAACTTATACTGCAGAATAGGTATAAAAAAAGATTTTTGCAAATAGCTGAGATGTGATATTGTCCAGCTTAAAGGCTGTAAACTTCCCTTCCCTTCTGAAGGAAAAGAAAGCAATCAAAAGCCAGAGAAGCATTTGGTAAATCTGCATCTTTGCCTGTGACAACTGTTTTTGTACTACAGTTTGATAGGAAAGCTGCCTTGGAATGGTATGAGAGATGCAAGATTCAAAGAGAATATATAACCATATCTTTAAAATTTTGTATCCTTTCTGGTTTCACTTTCTAGAGATAAATATCACAAACAGTATGAATAATGACTTTTCTAACTGGTTTAAAACCAAAGTGAGGAAAAAAAGCACTTCTACTATATCTCAGCACAAGAATTTGAATTCCTATCATCCTCTTCAACAGCAGCTCCTAATCTTCCTCTTGTGAAGAGCAAGCTTTTTCTCCCTGCTCCTGCATACTCTCTCACCAATTCTGCCAGTATGCACACAAAGACTCCAGCACAGGCAGCCCAAGTTACCAGGTGCAGGTGCCACCTGACCTGTACGTACATGGAACATAAACTGCTTGGAAGCTCCCAACGTAATTTGGTCCCAGCTCGTAAATGGTGCTGACCCCTGGGGCAGGCAGCACTTCCTCCAGGAAGTGCGTGGGGCCCAGGCGCCACACCAGGGAGGAGAGCTGGCGCTGTGCGGGTGGCGTGCCGATGTAGGCGTACACTGTGCTGACCACAGGGGGGTTGGCAGAGCCAGAGCCACTGGGGCTGCTATGGATGTAGTGAAGCTGTGAGGGAGCAAAACACAGGCAAGTTAGTGAGAGAGCAAGGGACAAGATCAGAAATTTTGTCCAAAAATGGCTTTGCAAGCCAGGGAAGGTATAAAATGATTGCTATGTAATGCAGGGTATTCTGACACTGTACTGAACTAGACAGTGAAGAACTTTAAACAGAAAGGAAATGTGAAGACCAGCAGTGGCTATCAAAAGATGAAGGTGTGTATGGAAACACAGGAGGAGAAGATGAGAATTCTGTGCCTAAAGAAGCTGTATCTTGATTCTAAAGACATGGTGCTCAAAGTAGTGCTGTTTCTTCTTCCCCAGACTTTGAAAATTGCACCATTTCAAGCTAAAGTGTAAATGTAATGAACTAAATTCAGCAAGACTTTTCAAACAATTAAACAAATACATGAGTAAGATCAGGGCCAATACACAAAGACAATAACAACCTCACAGGCTTTTTTAAATTTATATTTTAAAAATTCTGTTAGTAGCTATTAAATGTAGTCATGCATAGCCAGAGAGACAGCCAGATAGATACTCATGTATTATAGCTGTCAGCATAACAACTTACTGTAGTCCCCCTCTTGCAAAAGGAATACTGGGATGTAAATTTTGAAAGTCAACATGTTGTTTTACCTACAGCAGTCCAGTAACATTAGCTAGTTTAAATCCCACACCAGGTTGTGCTTTATACCTTAAAGCTCACATCTGCCAGTTGTGAAATGATGTCTGGATATCTGTTACAGCTTGGGAATATTTTGTGCTCAGTGGACAGGTCCACAGTACTCTTCACTGTTTTCTGCAGTTTCTTCCACCTAACAATGAGGCATTGACCTTTGCAAATAAATGTAGTGTTTGCTTGTTGTTTTTTGTTTTGTTGCTTAGGTTGGGTTTTTTCCTATTCTGTTGGGGGTGACCACCTTTTCGACAGGGTGGTGGTGGTTAATTTTTTCTTCTTTTTTTTGGTAAGGTTTTTTTATTGCACAGAGAAAAAAATCACTCCAACCAGTAAAAATGAGAGCTGAAAGATTTATTTTACCTTAACAATGTTAACAAGCTGTCCATCGAGGTAGAGTGCAGCTGTACTGTTCTTCAGCATGCCTTTACTCATGACCAGAACTAGGTGATGCCACTGGCCCTCCACAATGAGGTCACCGCAGCGAAAACGGGCACAACAGGGAAGAATTTCATAAAATGATGATTCCTCACTGAAGTCATCAACTAAAGGAAAAGCACCAGTTAGTGGGCACCAGCAGAAATGTTACAAGAGATTAAAAATCTCAGGATATATTCAGACTTTTGACAATTTTATTTCATTTCTCACCTTCTCCCCACCCTTTGAAATTTTAGCTGGAATTACTAGTTGGCTCAAGTTTTTACTTTCTCATGCTGCCATGCAAGTCACAGAAAGATCTTTTGTTGTTTTCCTAAAGAAGTTTCTACAGCAGCATTCACCAAGAACCAATAGATGTGCCCCCAAACCCACAGAGCTATTTTTCACCTTTCTCACACTGTGGAGAGGATGATACTCATACTCCCAGACCTTTATTCCCACTTTTGCATCACAGAAATGACCCTTACTCTGCTTAAAAGTCATCCCTACAGAAAGAAAAAAAGAAAAAAAACCCCAAAACCCAGGGAATGTTTCAACCATGAGCTTTTCATAGCTCTCTTCATTCTTTCATACTGAAGGAAAAGAAACCATTAATCCCCTTACTACAACAGCTGGCTGCACAGGGAGAACACTCATTTCTTTAGAAACAGCACAAGGAAAATGTTAAAAGCAGAGTACTTAGAAGTAAGGTTCAGATACAAAAATAATCTCAAGTTATTTTCTTAGCCAAACATCTCTGAGCACAGTTCTTGCTCTCAATATAGGTCCTTAAATCACCCCTTTTATTCTTACATGAGACTGTCAGCACTTCCAATCCCCGTGTTGTGCACAACAATTCCAGTCTCAGTTATCCAGGTCCCTACCTGATCAGCACTCAATTATACACCACCAACTATGATTTAGACACAACAGGGTAGCACTTGAGTGAAGCAAAGTATCCTGGTTGAAGTAAAAAAGTCTTTATAATCAGAAACCTCCAGATCTTCTCTGAGAAAGTGTTTTCAAATCCAATCTCTTTCAGGGAGTTTGATTATAGATGCTCACTAAACTAAAAACATATGCACAATAGCTTCAGTGCAGGCTAAAGCAATTAGTGTGAAGATAAACTTGCTTCATTCCATAAGATTTTGGTCCTCTGAGAAAGAAAGCACTATCAGTATCTTTGTAATTTAGGGAGCTTAATTCCTACTTTACACTATGTGTTTTCAGCTCTCAAGTTTCAGGTTTTGAACCTGACTTCTAGTAAGAACCACTGCTGCAGTTAATGTCTGCTTACAGATTATTCCTTATTTTCATGCTAACAGTCCACTTAGTTGTTTGTGGGAGGCCTTTGTAATAACAGCAGTTGTGTAAATTCTTTATTAGTCCTGCCTACACAAAAGTAAAGAACAGAAGCAAGAATAGGTTTTTGACAACTATTTGGGCAGGTCTAGTGAAGAGCTAAGCCTGAAGCACACACAGAAGGCTGCCCTGCTCCTCTCAGCTCCTCCACAGACTCATCCTGTCAAAACCAACCATTTTTGGAGGCTGGAGACAGGAGACAGCTCATCCTCAAGTCCCTGAGTGCACTGATAGCCCTCTCTAGCAAATTTATTGGTATCACCAGCTTCACTTAGATCTTCACTACACCTCCTGTAACTCCTCCTTTAGTTACAGATACTGAATGGAGATACAAACTGTTTCTGAAAGCTGACTACAGCATTAAAACATGAAGTGAATTACTGCTTGCCTTCAAAAAACCCTCCAGTAATGGGACTACCCTGACTGAAAAAGCCTTCAACCTATTAGTTTACTATTTATTTCCAAACTTCTTCAAGCAAAGACAGTTAAAATTTGCACCTCAAGATTTCAAGAGATGATGTCTAAAATCAATGACACAATATACATCAAAGGCAAAACCTTTCAAAATCAGTGATGTAATCCCTCCACTGAATACATATTACCTGGGGTTTTGGCAAAAATTTTTCTTTTATATAGAGACATCAAATCTTCTTTGGAAATTTTAAAAGCTCCATAAATTAATGTTTACATTTTGCATTTTTCCATTGTCAAAAAATCAGGAACTGGTGAAACAGCAATGAAAGTTCCCGCACACACAATTCTTCTGGATAGTGAGTTTAAAATAAACTTCCCATTGCATCCCTATAAATACTGTCAGCATTAGCTGATGACATGGCACAACTCTTACCATAATTCTGAAGCAATTCTTCTTTAGTTGAAACAATCAATGAGCGGTCTTTTGCTGAGAGGACAATGGCAAGGCAGACGTAATGCTGCTCCGAGGAGTTTGCACGCCGCACTACAGTGAGGAGTCTCACAGGATGGTTATTGGGAGGTGTACTAAAATGTTCAATGCAAAACCAAGTTGAGTAGCTTAAACCAGATGGTGGTGGGAAAAACCTTTCACCTAAAGATAAAAAGAAAACCCATTACATAGCTGCAGTTAGGATACCTACTTGATCCTGTTCCTTTCTTCATATCAGCTCAGCTAATACTAGCTGCGTTTTCTCAGATGCTGAAGAAGCCTCTGTTAAGGGAATATCTCTCCATCACATACATCTGACTCCACTTAATATCCCAGGATGCTCCCACTAATTCTATCTTACTGCAGTAAGCCTTCACCTTAGTTTTTAGATGTAACAACTTGTTTAACTAAGTGACTGTGTTCAATTAATCCCACAGATTTAATTAAGCATTCCAGGTTCCTGTAGGGTGAATAATCCACAACAACATGTAAAAGTGATGGCAAACAATTTAAATGGGGCTTTTGTGATGGTGTGTGCAACTACACCTGTAATAAATGCAGTCAAGGATTTAGCAGAACAAAGTCACAAGTATAGCATTACATTTCATTCCATGTTTCCTATGCTCTACACACTACGACCTCAACTTTTTCTTAATGCATCTGCATTATTACTCATACTCCTTGGTTGATTACAATTTAGCCTTCTACTTTAAGCTTTGCATTTTAAAGCAATCACACATTTATATTTTATATTGCTTTTCATTGTCTTGGGGGCAACAGAAACACACAGAAAAAAGACACAAGAAGTTCTTGATTATGGGTGCACAGCATCCAACACCATACTATCAGTTCATGGCTAACCAAGAAGTCTAAGAGAACTAAACATCAGATACAAAACATTGTTTGTTACCAGTCATACTGGTGTACTCACCAGTTCCAATTCCGCTCACAACGGCACCATCAACGAGTCCTGTAGTAACAGCATTATTTGTAGGTGCATTGTGGGGAGCCAGACTTGGCAAGAACAGGCAGCTGTTAAACACAAGACCAGTAACACACTGGAGTTTATAGAAGTCAGTGTAAGTAGAGTTCAATAACAAACAAAACATGGCTTAGGAAAATATACCATAAGCACACATGCTTTGTGACTTAATGTAGTAATGAAAAATAGGAATTAATTCTCAAGATTGCTCATTGTGAGTCTAAATTATCTCTAGCACTAAGAACTTTGGCAGTGTATGCCTTTGGTGTGAAGGTACAGAGTCATGCCCATGTGGCTCCATGGCCTAAGATTCTCCGTGTGGGCACCTGCACCTTGCAGCAACCTTTGATTTGTTCTGAACCTTGTAAAGAGACTGGATCAGCTAAATAGTCAAAGGATCTGGCAACTGCAGACAACAATGTTCTTATCTTAAGAAAGTATGCTCTCACACTAATATCATATTCATACCAGCTTAGTTATGTTTGGTCCTTACAAGAGCCACTGATGCTGTGGACACAATGGAAAGCAATACAAGGAGAAAAGTTCTTAATTTTTTTTTTTTTAAATTTATTATAGAAGCCTTCTTAGTTGACTTGCTGAAATTCTAAGAAGTCACAGCTGCATTATGTGAGTTACTTCTGGACATGTTACCAGCACCCACAAATCTCCAGAAGCAAATACAATGAAAATTCATTCTGCCATGCTATTTCAAGTTCTTAGGTCCAGACAATTTTCTTTTCTTCTCTCTTACAAAAGATGTAGAACACAGCTTAGAGTAACATTTGTTTACTAAAGCAATAAGTCTCTTCCTGATTGTATTGGATGGAAAGGCTAGATGGAAAATGGGAGCTGCATCCTGTTTTGCAGAGCTGAAAAGAGAATGTAGACAGCAGCAGAGCTCCCAAGTATTCAAGTTTTTCTATTCCATTTTTATAACCAAAAGACCAAAAAATTTCCTTAAACAGATGTTGAGAATGGTGTCATGCTTTCATCTTCTGAATAGTTAAATCTTATTACATGATTCTCAAAAAGTGCAGCACTCAGCAGGTGTTTAATTAGAGAGAGAAAAACAAGTGGTGCTAAAAGAAAAAAATGAGCTAAGCATGATATCCAGGCTATGTCTCCAGTTAGTAATACTAGGCTTCTTTTAGTTCTTTGAACTCATCATAGCTGCCTTGTCTGCTTCGTTTGTATTTCTGATACACTCTCACATTTTCATGCTTTCCAGCAATTTTAAGTGGGTCTCAGAATAACTGTACCATCCAAATGTCAAACATAAATCTCAGCAACCCTTCAAGGGTATGTTGGCATTCCTTTGTTTTAAAAGGGATGTGAAACCCAGAATTGAGAGGGTCCCATCAATGATATATACTTCCTTTTTTCACTTTCACACATGGCAAGCAAGCATTTTTAATTAAGGTATTAGTGAATGAGAAAGAAAGAAAGTGGAAATTTATGTGACTCAAAGCATTCCTTTCTCCTCTTTAAAGAGTTCATCTGCTCCTTACTTGCAAATAGTCTATTAAAATTTACGAGTATTCCTTTGGGAAAAAAGGAAGTAAGCAAACACTCAAGAGCATGGCAGGACCTTACCCAAACCCTTCCAGAGATGTGTCAAACTCGATGAACGCTGGCGTAACCGATGATCCGTGAAGCCTGATATCATGTGGGGTTGTCATGGAGACCAAACACTTGACTCTGGTCAGGGGCACTGTGCTCCCTTCTGCTGGCTTGAGCAGGCTCTTGCTTATGCGATAGTGGCTGTCCTCGTGCACACTGAAGACGCTGTCAGGACCCAGACCTTCCATGGAGGTGACCATGCTATCTATATGAGAAAACAAGAAGCAGCACAGCATTGCAATACAGCGTTGCAAAGGGAGGCATTTTTAGGCTGTTTATTTGGACCTTTCAAGTCTGGTGGAATAGCTGAATTGTCACACATCTTCAGCCAGTTCAGCCTCTCATAAGATAAGGAGCTGGGCAGCTCATTATTAATTGCTTTGATAATAAAAATGCTCAACCAAGGCAGAAAGATGAGCATCTTGCACAACATGCCAAGGAAAGTTTGTGGTAAAGCCAAGAGGCCCTCCCATTACCTCATGTCAGCACGGTATCCTTTTTGCAGAGGATCCTCTTTACGTGCATTTCTGCTACCTGACTTAGTAGGTAGGGAAAATTCTACTTTGTGCTTTTCAAATGCAGTCTCAGAGCTCTTAGTGAATAGAAAGTAAACTTAGTTTAGGCAATTTAATATAACCTGTGGTATTCAGAAGGTAGCTTTGCATTCTCTTTCCTAGGCTAAAAACTTTCTAGTCTCACATTTTCACTGTTTATTTTTCCCAGTGATAATGCAAATATATATATATGTATATATATATATATATATATATATATACACACACACACATAAAAATAAATAGAGCAGTGGCCAAGAGAAATTGAAGGGAGATACTACACAGATATAATGATTTGTTGTGTGCACATGAAAATAGCTGAGAAAAAATAATGTTGAATAGCTATAAATGCAGGACCTACTCAAGACTTAAAAAACAAACTACTACCGTATTTAACAGTTACTGTTCCTAAAATAAAAACCTGTGATAATTCTTGCTAGATATATATATTCAATATAAATACTACATTCCCTTTGATACTTCACATTCATACAAAGCTGGGGTAAAGTTGGATTTTTATGAATGCTTATCTGAAAATTTTAAATAGGTATGCAACTGGGGGACATGAGTGAAACATTATTTACACACATTTTTAGCACTTCAGCACCTACTTCTCATTTCTGGTTCAAAACTCAGTGAGCTGGGTTTGTGCACTCGGTACTGTTTCAACAACTTTTTGTCCCAGGCTCCGCAATTCAAAGGATTTCCCAAGCGTAAAAATTCCCTAAGAAAGAATAAAAAAATTTGGAAGTCATTTTCTCTATGTATTTGCCTATAGTGGCACCAAATCTAATAGCACTTAAAAAAAACCCCAGTAAATGCTTGCAATAAGCATAACTTATAACTAAGAAAATAATCCAATGCATAATTATGATGTATATTTGATCCATTCAAAACAATTTAATTTTGGAACACATGCTCTCAAAAGTTGACACTATGTTAAGTAATCAAGCAATGTTGATAAAGTAATTTATCATAAAATAAAGCAATTTTGATAATTCCTTTCTCTTCGTTATAAAACTTGGCAGGAGGCTGCTGCATTCTGCAGGAGAACATCAGGACATTTGATAATACAAGCTGAACTCTTCTGGAGAGGCAGATCATAGGCTGAAGTAAGCGACTTCAGCTTTGTTTTACCAGTGTGTCCTATTTGTTTGGGGGAATCATTTCACAGCTATCAACACCTGTATCTCTAGGTAACTATAGTATCTCACTATAGAGCTACCCAGGCTATCAGTGTCTATGGTTAGGGAAGCTTAAGTCCCTGTAATGTGACTATGAGCTAGAGGGCTCCTTCTGACACAGCTCCATGTCACTGAAGGGAACTGAGCAGCTGTCCTGGCTACAGGTCAGCCAGCCAGTGATCCATAGGAGATAATACAATTAAATTCCCTCTTACAGCTGAGATCACAGAACCCCAGGACAGTCTGGGCTGGAAGGGACTTTTCAAGGTCATTTGGTCTAATGACCCTTCTGCTGTGGGCTGGTACAGCTTTCACTTACACTAGGTTGTTCAAAGCCCTGTCTAACCTGACCTTGAACAACACCAGTGACAGAGCATCCACAACTTCTCTGGACAACCTCTTCCAGTGTCTCACCTCCTTCACTATAAAAAATGTCTTCCTCATGTCTAATTTAAATCCAGCATCTTGTACTTTAAAACCTGTAGCACTGGTACTGTCACTACAGGCCCTGGTAAAAAGTCTGTCTCTGTCAAGAGACAACCTACTTGATGAGAAACAGAAGGGGATATTGTGCTATCTCTACCACATCAGGTTACTAAGGCTCTCTACCACTGCCAGCCATTTACAGCGAGCCAGGACAGTGCAGGCTGCAGGCTTCAGTCCAACTGAACTTCAGGGCTATCCTTCTGACCTCAACACCATTGGCTGCAGAGCCTGGGAGGCCAGCCTTTCAAACATCCTTTGGAGTGGTGGATGCAAGGAGTGGTCCTCATCTGCCAGAGCAGCGCTGCATCTTTGCAGAAGTCGTGCGTGGAGCCCAGCTTCACACATGACTTGCTGGTTTCTCTCTGTATGCACCAGAGATTGCAGGATGTTGGCCACTGCCAGCTGGAGATCCAGTGCATGCTGAAAAAGAGAACAGCACAAGGCTTGAGAAAGTGCAAACTCAGGAGGAAAACAGAAGAAAGGCTTTATACATAATAACAGAAAAAAAAACTACCATTAGCAATAAATACAGGAAATTAATTATACTTAAATATATGTGCATGCACTTGTGTATTTTTGGGGTGTGTGTGTGCATGTCTGTATGAAGAAAAACTCTCCACAAAAAAAGGGTAATTAGACAAAGGATTACCAGAACTATGGTCAAGAAAAATAATTCAGGTAAGAATGGTTAACTAACCTCTACTTTTCACCAGCAAAGAGAGCCAGCTTAGAGAGAACTAGAAACTTTTATTTTTGTGACTATTAAGCTACTCTTAGTAACTTAACATAAAAATATCATCATTTAGGTTGGAAAAGACCTTTAAGATCACTGAGTTGAACTCTTAACCCAGCATGGCCTAGCCCACCATTAAACCACGTCTCCAAGTGTCACATCTACATGTCTTTTAAAGACTTCCATGCCTGGTGATTCAAACAGTGCCCTAGACAGCCCATTCAAATGCTTAACAACCCTTTTGGTGAAGAAGTTTTTCCTAATATCCAACCTAAACTTCCCCTGGCACAACTTTATGTCATTTTCTCTCAGTCTATCACTTGTTTGATTTGTTGAGACTGCCCTTCCCCTTGCTAGAACCTCATTTGAAGTAGTTTTAGAGAGGGGTAAGGAACTGCCTTGAGCTTCCTTTTCTCCAGGCTAAAACACTCCCAGCTCCCTCAGTTACTCCTCACAGGACTTGTGCTCCAGACCTTCCTTAGCTCCTCTGCCTTTCTCTGGGTTCACTCCAGCACCTCAATGTCCTTCTTGTAGTGAGGGATCCAGAACTGAGCACAGGATTTGGGGTGCAGGCTCAGCAGTGCTGAGTACAGCGGGATGATCACTGCCCTGGTCCTTCTGGCCACACTTGCTGATTCAGGCCAGGATGCCATTGGCCTTCTTGGCCACCTGGGCACAGCTGGCTCATCCTTAGACCAGCATCCCCAGGTCTTTTCCAGCCACTCTTTCCCCAGCCTGTAGCACTGCCTGGGGATGTTGTGACCCAAGAGCAGGGTTCAGCACTTGGCAACCTCACACAGCTGCCCTCAGCCCATCAATCCAGCCTGTCCAGATTCCTCTGCAGAGCTTTCCTACCCTCCAGCAGATCAACACTCTGGCTGAACTTGATACCATCCACAAATTGACTGAGAGTGTACATGATTCCCTCATCCAGATCAAAACAGATACTAAGCAGAACTGACCCAGTTCTGACCTCTGGGGAACGCCATTGGTGACCATCTGCCAGATGGGTGTAACTCCATTCACCACCACTCTGGGCCTGGCCACCCAGCCAGTTTTTAACCTAGGAAAGAGTCCACCCACTCAAGCCATGAGCAGCCAGTTTCTGCAGGAGAATACACTAGAAAACAGTGTCAGAAGCTTTACTAATGTCCAGGTAAATGACATCCACAGCCTTCCCCTCATCAACCAATAGGGTCACCTTGTCACAGAAGACCAGGTTAGTTAAGCAGGACCTACAGTACATAAAGCCATGCTGGCTGGGCCTGATTTCACAACTGTTCTGTATGTGCTGCAGCATGGGATGTGTAATGATCTGCTCCACAGCCTTCCCCAGCACGGGGGTCAGATTGACGGGCCTGTGGCTCCCCTGATCTTCCTGGCCAGTCTTGTAGATGGGCATCACATTGACTAATCTCCAGCCAACTGTAATTTTCCTGATTAGGCAGGACTGCTGCTAAATGATGGAAAGTGGCTCAGTGAGCATTTCCACCAGGTTCCTCTCCACCCTTGGGCAGATCCCATCAGCCCCACAGATTTGTGAGTGTTTTAAGTTGTGTATCAGGTTGCTAATTACTTCCCCTTGGATTATACGGGCTTCATTTCTGCTCACCACCACCACCACAACCTCTACAAAACTAAAGACATATGCAATATAATTGTCAAATGTGTGCCGTGAAGGTAGAGAGTTACTACACTCACGACCAGTAGAGACCAAGAAAGAGGAATCTGGTAATTCTTTCAAGTTTTTGGAACCCCCCCTTTTTTTTTTTAAACAAAAAGTATTCTTCAGGGAAGACATCTCAAATAAAAAATACATGAGCAACTTCCAAAAACATCCAACAAATCCTTCATACACAAAGAACCAGAAGACATTTTGTGTTGGGAATTGTACAAAGCAGTCATTACAACTTTAGAACTAGAACATATTTGGAACTTTTAACTTTAGCTAGAACAACTAGAACAACTTTAGAACTAGAACATATTTCAGCTACTTCAAACGGTGTGCATAGCCCAAGATATGATGTTCAGTTCTATGTCCTCACAGTATGCATTAATACCTGATACATCAGGGAAAACATTAATTAATCATAGTGCTTGGAAACTTATCTGATGGCCACTTCATATCTTTCTTTAAACTTACATTACTAACAAGAGTTTGAAAGAGATAAATAAAAGAAAGCCTATGACACAAAGCAATTCCTCCTAGCCACCAGTTATACAACTCAGGCTGGGAAATATATTAGTTTTTCAGCACAAAATGAGAGAACATCACCAGCTTTCCTATTTCCCCAGCACCTCCCAAAGCTTCAGACCACACATTTTTTTCCCTTACCTCTGGGTGTGTAGCTGATCCAACAGAGGCCAGAAGATCCAGCATTGCAAGCATAGCACCAGGGTGAATGATGACTGCATCAGAGCTTTGTATGGACGTGGATCCTGTTTGGAGTTTCACATCAGCTATGTTTTTCTGAGGGCAAACAGGGGGTGTTGAAACAGAATGATATGCATGCCTGCAGGACAGAAAACATCCCATGGTTACAACACCCAGCTATTACGAGCTCTGCATTTTTTAAACAGCTGTAAAACTGTACTGGCCTATAGATGTTACTCCCTTTTCCTTTCTCTTCCCTCAGTTAGACAGAACAAGTGTTCCTCTTCCAAACCTTTTGGGCATGTTTCCCTAAAGACAGCCTGGAGAGGTTTCAGTTTCTCAACTATTCTTGTATTTGGAAATGTCTTCCCCAGGCGCTTCAAGACTGTTTCAAGAACTTAAGAGATTGTTTTTATTGCCTCCTTTTTATTCTAGTTGCAGTGGCGGCACAAAACAATTGCAGTGAGCAACCTACCAATGCTCCTGTTCTCTGGATGTGTGTCTCCCCATTTGCTTTTCATTAACAACTGATCATGAAATGTACTATCACAAAACTCTCAGCAATCTCTAATCAGCCTAAGGGAATAGAAGGGTGGTCTCTGTGTTTACTCATGACAGCAATCTGTATGTTCTTAGTCCTTCTGTGACCGCTACAGCCATTTGGTTTTACATGAAGATGCTTTAGTCTGATCCAGGGAAAAGGATTTGACACACTGACTTAGAAGCAACCACTGGTCCTGAAAAATGCAGACATGTCCTTCATTGAAACTCTTGACGGAATCAGCTTGATGCAACTCTTCTTTCAGCAAGGGTTTCAACACACAAACAGCATGAGCAGCTTACTAAACATATGCTTTCAAGATGGTGCTTTAGAAGCAAAAGCAAGATCCAAAGACTCATGCTCACCACAAAAAAAGAAAACCAAAACACACAAGAAACCCCTGCAAGAAAAAAACCCACAAACCCAGAAAAAACCCAACCCAAATCACCCAAAGTATTTATCATACAGTTATTTGTAAGAAGAAATAGAACAAATTATGTGTAGGAATTTTTTTATGATCACAATGTCCTTCGTTTTACAACTGAATATAGCAAAACAAGAAGGTTTTCTTGTTATCAAATCAGCTGAAAGAAGTATTTCCTCTCTTCTGTTCTCAGTGACAGAAATTTACTCAAACACTGACCCTAACACAAGTTAAGACTTTGAGACTGGATGTTCCTCACTCTTTAGACACTTCCAACAAGACAATCTCTTTCTCCTGGGAAAAACAGGATATAGATGGGAGATGAGGAAGGCTGCAAACACAATTCTGCCCTAAACACAGCCACCAAGCCCAATCCCCCAGCAAGAAACACATCTATGGGGGAAGGCTGAGACGTCAGATTATTCAGCCTAAAAAAGGACAACAGGAAGCACAGTACAATCTTTTTGTGCTGGCTGGAAAACTGGTTCAATAAATAATGTTCCAATAAAAAGGTTCCTACTGAAAAGCTTTATGGCAGATCAGCAAAAACTTGGCACCTGAACAACCCAAGAGTACTGTTCAAAAGAGAGTTTTAAATAAAAATTAGATTATCGATGCTTTACTCATTTAGATAATGCTTACAGGAAACAGAAAATAAGAAGGCAATTCTACTGAAACCAATTGCTAAGAAAAAGATCTTCCTAAATGAATTTTTCTAGTGTTTCTTACAAACCCATAAGCCATTAATTTTCTAAACTTCTCTTGTCAGCCCCACTACTTATGGAAACATCTAGCAGGTAAGAAAGGCTTCACTGTTTATTTTTTTTAAAGAAATGGAATTAGGAACGGTGTAACAAATGGTAATACTACACAAAGATGTGATCTCAAGCCTCTGCCCTGACTTACTGCAGAAATTGGAACACAGGCAATTGTTTCTCAAGCATCCTAAAAGCACTGCTCTTCATCTGAAGGAGAAAACTGCAGCCTCTTTCCAATGTCACCTTGAGCATCTCAATGCAAGTTTTACAGAATGCAGTTAAAAAATAAATATCCATTTATATTTAAGATTTTTCTTAAGTCTAGTGAAATTCCCTTCCTTAAGACATTCTGTCCACTTCTAAGTACAAATTTTACCTTTAAGCACACTGATCTGCACTATCACATTCACCTTGTTAGGTAAATCATGAGGTTAAAACATGGTAGTACACAGAGATCATAACAAAAACATTGCTCACAGTAAGTCACAAACACAAATATAATCCTGGTCTCAAACTACCTGGACTGCAACATTCCACACAACTCAAAAAGCAATACAGTCCAGACTAGGCTTCCTGTTAGCAGTCTAAGGAAAAATTCTATTTTTAAAGCATCTATTATTGAAGACTTTTCAGGTAATTTTAAAATATCTTATATTTTTAGTTTTCTTCATGTAAGGAGAACTTGTAACACTTCAACAGGGGAAAAAAAAGTTTGTAAAGATTTCTCTACACAGAAAAAAGAAAATAGATCTTACAAAATCCTTCCAAAATATTAAATGTTATAGTTCTATGAGTCAGGGTAGAACTTGCAATAAATTAATTTAGCCATACTTCCACATTCTTATATGTCTCCTTTAAGGAAGAAGAAAGAAGAAGAAGCAGATAATGGAAAAAGGCAGTGTACCCAAAATGACATGCATCTGTATATCTAATCTGTTTAATTTACTAAAGTATTATTCAAAAATAATTAATATAACTTCAGTTATATAATTAGCTATCATTATTGATGAAAATTACAACAGCGTTTTAATCTGGAAAGAAATAAGTTAGATTTACTGTAGATAAACCTTCTGCATATCGTTCCCTAAGAGTGATCACTA